AATTCCCGTTTATTACGTCTAGAGTTATGGCCCTTGTTTCAATTTATTGATCCTTGTGAATGCTCTAACGTCAAAAGTTATCATCCGATCTTTCTGAAATTTATATGCATTATGTAAGTTACTGAAACGAAGAAGCCTATTGAATTTCAGCAATTTCCGTTTATTACGTCTAGAGTTATGGCCCTTGTTTCACTTTATTGATCCTTGTGAACGCTCTGACGTCAAAAGTTATCATTCGATCTTTCTGAAAATTGTATGCATTATTTAAATTCGTGAGATGAAGAATCCTATTGAATTTCAGCAATTTCCGTTTATTACGTCTAGAGTTATGGCCCTTGTTTCACTTTATTGAACCTTGTGAACGCTCTAACTCCAAAAGTTATCATCCGATCTTTCTGAAATTTACATGCATTATTTAGATTAGTGAAACGGAGAAGCCTATTGAATTTCAGCAATTTCTGTTTATTACGTCTAGAGTTATGGCCCTTGTTTCACTTTACTGATCCTTCTGAACGCTCTAACGCAAAAAGTTATCACCCACCCGATCTTTGTGAAATTTATATGCATGATTTAAATTAGTGAAACGAAAAAGCCTATTGAATTTCAGCAATTTACAATAATTACTTCTAGAGTTATTGCCCTTGTTTCACTTTGTTAAACCTTGTTAATGCTCGATTGATGATAGTTATCATCCGATATGTATGAAATTTATATGCATCATTTAAATTTGTGAAACAGGTCTATTGAATTTCAGCAATTTCCGTCAATAATTTCTAGAGTTATGGCGATTGTGAACGTTTGAATGACAAAAGTGATCATGTGATCTGTATGAAATTTATATGCATTATTTAAATTAGTAAAACGAAAAAGCCTGTCAAATTTCTGTAGATTACTTCCAGAGTTGAGACCCTTGTTTCAGTTTGTAGAACCTTGTAAACCCTCAAACGACAAAATTTATAATCTGATCTGTATGGAACTGTCTTGTAAAGACCCCCAATTACCTACAAAGGAATAAATATGCGACAACCCTTGACGACCGCTCGGACGATACCAGATATACATACATTGATACCAAATAGGAGAAAATTGATACACTTTTCAGCTAGGTTGACCCCCTGGGCTCCCAGTCTATAGTGGAACCATTTCTAGTTCAGTATGTGGCGCTGGCTCATCCAGAGCCTTGTTTAACATGGTTACTAGCAGGGGCGCAGATCGCCAAAAATTAGTGGTGGGGACAGTCGCTCTAAAACGCACTCTGTGGGTATTTTCAGCATCATTTTCTGGCCAACAATTCTAATCCCTGAGGCAGCAAATGATACAAAATCTAATCTAAAGACAAATCTTCAAGCCACCGTTCACGATTTAAACTACTGAGATTCCAGCTCCGCCTCCATTCCCAGTAGTGTTCGAAGACTACGTAAAGTCTTTGAGCAAAATGTGTATTCAGTTGGATACACAAATGTACAGGCCTACAAATCTTTTAATTCATATATACTATAACAAGCCACACACACAGTTAAACATATCAATATTCAATCCCAATTGAAATAAATGCAACATTTTACATTAATATTCATTGGTGATTAAAAATCTGATGGCAAAGGCGAATTTTCCCACGTTAAAATTCAAAAATGGCGACCACATTGAAATAATAACTTTTCGCTTTTTTTTAAAGTTGTAATCTAGCTGTTTATATTGTTCCCATAGCTATTTTAATCATTCACATAGTACCAGTTGTATTATATTATCTATTTTGAATGTGACAGTGGTGATGTTATGTTAGAAATTACGTGTTTGGAATTTTATAATTTGCGTGATTTATCTTCCAGTATACCAGATAAAAACAAAATCTCAGTTATTTAATACCCAGTGTATCAGATATGCACACCTACATGATATACATATTATTATAATCCAAATGGAATATTTTAATTATTTACTGTTATAATATGAATTATCACATATTCCCTGTTAAATAAAAATTAGTCACCGGGTGCAGCTATACAACTTCAAGGACCCTGGCCTCAAGTGCTTGGGACCAACTCTACACTTTCTAAAATGTCAATAAAAGCTCTGGAATGATTTCAATTTCAAAAAATAAACAGTAAGCAAAACATCGGAAATAAGTGGTGGGGACACAGTATATCATGTCCCCACCACTAAAAATATTGGTGGGGACACGTCCCGGTGTCCCCACCGGGTTCCGCGCCCATGGTTAATAGGCGGCGCGGGCTGGCCAAACTGTACCGCCTACTGAGCCCAAAAGTTGAAGACTGAGCGGCAACATACATACTTTTTGAAAATTGCTGACAAGGTTTTTCCCATGTGCCAATACTATATCATGGTACATAGGTTTACAAAATCGTCTTTCTGATTGTTTTATGGGTATATTTCTGTCTGCGGGTCAGCCGCAGCAGTGTTTTGATCTCGATTTTACAGGGTATTAATCAATCCATGGTTTAACAAGATGTCAAAACTAATAGTGTATCAAATCTCCGAAACTATTTTTTAAGTGCTCAGAAATCGAGTCTTAAGGGAGTCAATTTTCAAAATGTTTTGACCCCCCGTGCAGGTTCTCGCAGCTATCCCTTGGCAATTGGAATTCAATATAAGAGTAGGCCGTAGCGTCGCTGTCCGAGCAAAATGTCGGTCATAACACACTGAATGGTGTAAGCCCACCTTCATTAGCCCAGTCGAAGCAGAACAGTAGGACGTTAAACTCCATTTCATTTCCTTTCGTTCTGCTCCTACTGGGCTAATGAAGACGGACCTTACCCTATACCGTGTACTATGAGGGAAACATTACCCGGATAGCGGCGCAATGGCCTACTCTTATATTAAATTCCAACTGCCAGTGGGGGTCTTTTATGTGCATGTCAATATGTAAATGGGGCCATCCGAACGACTATACATTAACCCTTGCCAGGCCTCCTGTCCTGCAGGTTCTCGCAGCTATCCCTTGGCAATTGGAATTCAATATAAGAGTAGGCCGTAGCGTCGCTGTCCGAGCAAAATGTCGGTCATAACACACTGAATGGTGTAAGCCCACCTTCATTAGCCCAGTCGAAGCAGAACAGTAGGACGTTAAACTCCATTTCATTTCCTTTCGTTCTGCTCCTACTGGGCTAATGAAGACGGACCTTACCCTATACCGTGTACTATGAGGGAAACATTACCCGGATAGCGGCGCAATGGCCTACTCTTATATTAAATTCCAACTGCCAGTGGGGGTCTTTTATGTGCATGTCAATATGTAAATGGGGCCATCCGAACGACTATACATTAACCCTTGCCAGGCCTCCTGTCCTGCACCACTGTCAAAGAGGAATCACTCCGGAAATAGGGTTTAATGTTCTACTTTTCTGGTAGTCACGGTGAGTAAGATGTTGGCTCGCCAACGTTGAGGTCTTGTGTTCTATCACTGCTTTGGTCAAGAAAGCCCATCAGGAATTTTCCGGCGTGATTCAACTTTACAGTGGTACAGGACGGAGGGCCTGGCAGGGGATAACGTATAGTGTTTTGGATGGGACTAAAAATCGAGGTTCCGTGTACATATAAGCGAGCTCGTAAAAGACCCCTGACAGTTGGAATTCAATATAAGCATAAGCCATAGCGTATGCCTGTCTTCATTATCCCAGTCAGAGCAGAAGAGTAGGACATTAAACACAACTTCATTTCATTCAATTTTCCTACTTTTCTGCACCAATCGGGCTATTGAAGATAGGCATACGCTATGCAGAGTGCTATGACGGAAATTTTCAATGAACCGTGGCATTTCTTCATCGAAATTCAACTGTGAAGGATCTTTTATGTGCACGCCAATGTGTAAACAGGAGCTTGTTTTTTGTCCCATCTCACAACTAGACACTGTACTTTGCCAGACCCTTTTGTCCTGCACTACCGACAGGGAGAAACCCTGCGGCAAAATCCCGGGGAACTTTCTTGACCAACACCAGGATCAGTGTATATAATCATTGAGAAGAATACGGCCGACAACCCGACAATACAACATTTTACGCCACATTATGACATTTTTGATGTTGTGGTGTCGGGTGAAAATGTCGTATTGTCGGGTTATAAATGCTGTGATGTTGTGGTGTCAGGTTAAAATGTTGTGAGGTCGCCTTATGAAGGACATGATAGCCAATCAGCCACCATACATATAGCTTAATGTCATTTTTTAAATATTTTCCACGTTACAGGTGTCTGAGGAATGACAATGCACTTTATTCCATATAGATGTTGCAACTTATTCCGTGCAAATCATCACAACAGCCAATACCATCCCAAATTGGCAGGGAGGGCGGGGCAGATATAGAAATTGAGCCTTGTTCAGGTGGAAGAGAAATGAAAAAAATCGCAGCTGAAAGTTTAAAGATGTGTAGGCCTATGGCTTTGAATGAAGTGGACTCCACTGCTAAACAAAAATTGTTATCTGTGAAATTGTTATCTCAAATTAATATGAGGCTTCATGCCTATTTCACATAATTGTCAATGGCCTGCGCATGGGTTTCAGAAGCTTAATTTAAGCGGCGACTCATTTACGTCTATCACCAGCTTGTTCACACCAAAATTACAGATTCAGTTAAAACAATGACGGTAAAATATTTTATTTGTAAACGATTTTTAACTACATCTATAAGTATATAACCGATATAAGTTGACCTGTATTGAACAAAATCTTATGTGTTGGTATAGATAAAAAATATTTAATTATTTGCAGGCAAAAGTCTTACAAACATTTGCTCAACCCCACCCCCACCCCCAAATATTTGTATGTCGAAAATTACGAAATGATTTTGGCCCCATTAAAATTACCATAAACTGGTAAAAACTGTGTTGAGGATGACTCTTCTCAGACAAAAGTTACCTGAAAAGGGAAAGAGCCGGCAGCAACAAAGAACAATTTAAACATTTATAATAAATACAAACTTAGGTGGCCGAAAGCAATCAGTACATGTGCAATGACTAACAAACAAAAATAAATTGAAATTCAAATCAGTTTAAACTATATTTATTTACCATATATTACATACTATATACAATACATAATAATTTATTTGGATTGGGAAATTCAAATTAACTTAATTCCTACTGAACTGGGCTTTTCAGCTGGTCTTATCTCCAGAATTGAGAGCCGCTTAGTCTACAGCCTGCCACTACCCTCAAGAAAATCACTCAGAAAAACTGTACTCTACTATTATTCCAAATCGTCCAAACAGATAACTATACTGCCTTGCTTGGATCCTCTTCCATCTGTGTCCACCATTCTGCATCCACCAACCTGTTTCATGAAAAACAAACTTACGTGGCCGAAAGCAATTAGTACATGTGCAATGACAAACAAACATGAATTGAAAGCCAAATTAACTTAATCCCTACTGAACTAAATGGAACTGAACTGGACTGTTCAGCTGGTGTTATCCCCAGAATTGAGAGCCGCTCAGTCTGCAAGCCTGCCACTTCCCTCAAGCAAATCAATCAGAAAAACTGTACTCACCATACTGCTTTGCATTGCCTGCATACTCTTCCAAAACAAACTTAGGTGGCTGAAAGCAATTAGTACATGTGCAATGACACAAACAAACAAAAATGAATTGAAAGCCAAATTAACTTAATCAACACTGAACTAAATGGAACTGAACTTGACTGTTCAGCTGGTCTTATCCCCAGAAGTGAGAGCCGCCCAATCTGCATCCTACCCTCAAGCCAAAAAAAAACTGTACCCTCCTTTTATTCCAAATCGGCGAAACAGATCACCATACTGCCTTGCTTTGCCGGCATCCTCTTCCATGTGTATCCACCTTTCTGCATCCACCAACCTGGTTCCTGAAAAACAAACTTCGCAAAGTATTGCTAGAGGGAATGTCCTAATCGGTGACAATGACAAGTTTGAAAGACGAATAATAACATCTTTAGATCCTTCTGCATTATAATCCAATACAACTGGAGTAACTTCGACATGGCTAGGTAATTTGGAGCAGTCTGACCTCTCAAACAAAATGTTTTGTTTCCCAGCTAGCACATAATCACTTATCTTACCTGATACACAAATAGATTTATTAGAACCTAGAACAATTGGCCTTTGCTCTGAACATTTCACGAACCCAACCTTACCATGTAATTCCTGTTCCTGAAGACGCATACACATAAATGTCATTTTCCATACATCAGGTAAATCTGTTGATATTGAATAATCTTTACCATGTTTCTGAACATATTTGTTCCTATAAGTGCTGGTGTGGTACAGTTATAAGGAGTGTCTGGTACAACTAAAAATAAACAAAGCACCTCGGCACACACCAAGTGAAATACATACATATCCTAGATAAGGTAATCGATGATCACCACCACTTTCTATATGTATCATCTGTTTCAATGGTAAAATATGCCGCCATAGTTTTCAACTCGTCATCTTGCATCAGTTGAGCCATCTTAGTAATGTCTGTAACACCACTACTCTTGGGTCCTATCAAAAGGAATACAGCCATGCTCAATCCTAACTTCTTTGAGAAGATCTTCAAAGTTTGTCAAACGATCAAACTTATGGGCTGACTTATCCTTTAAGTCATTCCTCAATCCACACCAAAACTTTGATACAGTCTCGTCAGGAGCTTGAGTGGTGGAATAAAACTGCGACAAAATACCAAATCTGCTTTGGTAACATCTTGGCCCAATCTCATAGCTACTCTTGCAGCTTCTCCACGTAACGACGTTAAAACAGATAATCTCACAGAATCCTTACTATGTAAATCATCTTTCAAAACACTCAAAACCTCAAACTTCCACAAGTCAAATGAAGTATCTCCTTTACAGCCAGGATCACCGGAGAATGTTGATATTCTTGGCAACTGCGGTATAAATTTATCTGTTGTTAGGCTGATATTCTGTTCTATCATCTTGATGTGCTGAGCGATCTGCTATACCAAAACTTTCATCCATCATTGAAATTCTACCCTGAGATTTCAAATAATCAAACATCCATTCTATAAAATCCTCAGGTGACTCAACCTTCGGTTTTACATCTAAAGTAGAGAACATGTCTGACAAATGCTTCTCCTCTGAGGAAAACTCTGATCTGCTACCACCCGTTGCCATTATAGCATAAAAGACAAACAAAACAATAAATGGATTAATTAATGCAAACAAGCCTATATGTAGCATTCAAATATTCCTGTAGAAGATATAGATCTGGCACAAATCAACAAAATGAATGATTGACAAACAGACAGATTAGATAACCCAAAATGTAATTAAGTTTGTATCATATAAGCATAAACATATGTAATTCTATTCTAGATGCAAATGCTGAAATAGAAAAAATAATATTTCTATACTGTATCAGTTATATTGTAAATACAAATGCTGAAATAGAACATATATTCACCCATATACTGTATTACGTCACAACATAAGCTCATGAAATGTGAGTGCAGTGATAAATCATGAAAACAGCTTATATGTTGACCTAATTTCAGAGTACTAAACAAACAAAAAAATCGATCTGAAAATGAAAAATGAACTTTCCTGATAAAAAAAAAAAATGAATTCAAATTTTAGTAATGAACAAACTCAAAACCCAAATACCCAACGAACAAATTCCAAATCGACAAACTACTAAACATACCAATCAAAGCATCCAAAATACCTGAACAATAAAATTTCAAAGTCCAATAATAAACTTTCGAAGGCCAGTCTAAACTATAAACACCAAAATACACCAACTTCCAAAACTATCAAACTGGGTCAATAAGTGTAAGTGTATATGATCAATGTAATACCAGCTGTAAAATGTATATTGTTATGTAACATGTCACTGAAAACCACCTAAATATCTCTGCTATAAATATATGCTATTAGTGATATCATAGTAAAACAATAATACAAAGAATTTATTTTTTGTTTTAATAAATCTATCATCTAAAATCTCAGCTTAAGCTATTACAGTAAAAATAAGACAATCTCATAATATATTGTACAAAAAAAAAACATAAATAATCTGAATTGATGATTATATCAAATAAAGAAATATAAATAAAAATAGGGGTTGATGTAGGGTAGGGTAGGGTAGGGCTTGAATTAATAAAAGAAAACAAAAATGTTTCCAATTTAAGTCACTGCTGTGAAGACTAAAGGGAGACAACTTAAAGTACGAAAATCTGCAATGATTTGAAGACTAAAGGGAGAAAATCAAACTTAAATAATTCAAATAACTTAATTACAAAATATCTCTAAACTTAATTAAAATATACGTAGGCCTACCCCAAACATCTGCACAGATAAAAAAGTTCGCAGAACACAGCAACAATTCACGTTTTAGGTTGATTAATTCTATCGCTGAAGACGAATTTTCACCAATAATTATCCACCATAAGCTGGTTGACTCCGACAGATGTTCTCTTCAGCAAACTTATTGGGCTCCAATGTTGTAGAGGGGTCTGGGGGTTGTTATAACAATCCAGAACGGGTTCAATACTTTATTATCGTATAAACCAGGAAAGCAATAAAATCCCTGCAAATATACAATTCAATATAATATAAGTACATTACAAAACGAAAGGCAATATCAAAATACAAACATCATTAACACATTAACTAAAACTATTACTATAGCATAGAAATAAATCTCAGCTACAAAGTGAATAACTGTTTGAAACAAATACATGGTACCGGTACTTTAACTAAAATACTCTATAACTACACTCTAAACTAACTTACCCAAAGTGGGGTTTTAAATACTCAGTTTATATATATACAACCTAACAACCTGAAATAGGATGATATTTATAAAATGTGTGAATGTGTGTTTGCAAATAAACTAACAACTTCAGTATAACAATATAAAGCTGCAGTTAAAGATACATCTTATATAATCAGTAAAACATAATGCAACATACCTGGTAAATAACTGCAAATCTTTACCAATATTCCAAAGAAATCAATCATTAAAAACTAAATTTAAAAATGACTTTGTTAAAGTTCCTCTTTGAAAGAAAGACGGTTAACAACTGAATGTATCTACCAACAAATACATCACATGACCAAGAAACAACGAAACTTGAGTTAAAAGTAACAGCTTAAAGAAATCGACTGATGAAGTTTAGAATGTTAAAAGTGCTGACTAACATGTGCTACACTAAAAATATTAAAAATTAATATACACAAAAATTGTAAAATGCCTTATATTTTACCACCTGTACACAATAGTTATTGATTTCTACACACTCCACACTGGTTGAAAAATACTATTTAAAGAACTGAGTTAACTGAATGACTAAATAAACTGAGACCAAACACAGGATGAAAGACACCAGGCCTGTAGCTAGCGGGGAGGAGGGTGGGGGCATTGGTTGGGCACCTCGCCAATCATGCCGTTATATGAGGTACCCCCAAATGGTGGGGTGCCTCATAATGAATTACACGATTAACACCACAAAATGATTGGTGGGGTGCTTTTTAATGACAATATATGATTGTCGAGCCGCACATAATGCCTAATGCCGAGTGAGATTGGTTGGGCGCTAATGACTTTATCAATGGGGCACTTAAAACGGCATGATTGGTGGGGTAACTCATATCGGATGGGCGCCCATAATGCCAAGATTGGTGAGCCGTCCATGACGAAATCTCCCTGACCCGATTCCGAACTTTTTGTTATTTTGATAAATTATCATAGGTACGCTAAGGTCGTATTCCTTCCTTCCAATTTTTATAATGTTGATATCAAAATTACGTAATACGCCAATGTCACAAATTGAAATTCTCTGTTATTTTCGTAGTTCTCTCCTCCGGTGCAAATCCATTATCCAAAATTTCCAGGGGGGGGGGGGGGACCCTGAGAAAACCCACGAGGTTGGACAGGCGACCCTACTTCTTGTCACATACAACCGGGGAATCGAAACCATGCCAGTTGACCCATGATACAGCGCACACGTGCTAACCATTCGGCCATCCACCCCCACCCCCAATGGGGACGAACGTGGTATTTTGGAGCGTGGTATTTAGCCACTGCCCTTTTTAGAAGTTTTATACTGCATCATCCACATGTAAATGTAAATGAAATGAAATGGGGTTTAATGTCCTACTGTTCTGCTCCTATACTGGGCTAATGAAGACGGGCATACGCCATACAGTGTGCTATTAGGGAATTTTTGCCCGAGCAGCGGCACTATCGCCTACTCTTATATCGAATTCCAACTGCCACGGGACCTCGGTTTTTCGTCTTATCCGAAGGACTAGACAGCTGTCCTTGTCAGGCCCTCCGTCCTGCATCACTGACAAGGGGAAACCATGTCGGAAAATCGGGATGAACTTTCTCGGCCAATGCAGTGATCGAACACCCGACCTCCAGGCTAGCGAGCCAGTGCCTTACCCACCTAGCCACCGTGGCTCCCATGTGTAAATTGCCATGAAGATTTCCGGAAAATCAAGACAATAACCGATTATTTGTCTATCGCGTATCTGTCGCGTATCTTGATTTTCTGTCGTAAATAAAATTGTTGACAGACTAATAGTAGACTAATACTAAAAGAAATCATCTTTATCTATGCCCATTTAAAATTGTTGGTTTAAAAGAAAAAAAAAGAAAAATACATCAGACGGACATGCAAGGTATTCAGCAACCGGGTAATTCAAAGCGTTGGTCTACCGCCTAGGCGGTTGTTAGCTCTGTTACTTTATCAGGTGTAATGCTATATTATTCGCATAAATCGGGATGCAGTTAATATAATTATTGAAAAAACCTATGCGTTAGCATAATTTATAAAAATGGAGTTGTCTCCCATTGCACGCGAATAATCCAAAGATGGGGGCTTGCCAATAAATTATTCAATTACGACATAAAAAAAAAACAATTCACTATTAGATAATTTAAAATTGATGGAAAGAGAGCTCTTAGCGAAGAATATAGTTCTTATATTAATTCTATTTTTATGTTCTACTTCTTAATTAATTTATATGGTATTTAATTGATAATGTTGTAAGGGGCGTGACGTAGAGGGTATGGCGACGTTGTTTCAGAAATATTTGTATTGCAGACGAAATAATTACAGTTTTCAGGGGTATATCCCTCTGGTAAAGGGGAGAAATGGCTTCTCTGTTAAAAAATCAAATTCTTAAACATCTGTCAAAGTAAGTATTTTTATATTTTGTGTTATAAATTTGACAACAGCTTAGATTAAGAGATAATCTTTGGAGATCCGAGATGTTTGATTGTTGTACTTGTAGTAGGCCTCCGCGTACGATAATGTATGACTGTGGTGAGTGTTTAGGCTAGTGTTGTCGTCGACTGTTGTGATAAATGATAAATCATTTTTCGCAAACCGTTGGACAATTGTGTCTGATAAGAAGTCTTTCAATTTTCATGATTTTGCGGGAAGTGACACCCCAAAATATCACATTTTAATTGAATTTAAAATATTGGGAATAACTTTGAAATATCAGGATGTGACTATATATTAAAATAAAAAAAAGCTTTTATCATCATTATCGGTACCATTAAACTTAGGTCTACTTAATTATAACTCGACCAAACCTAAAGTTTTAGAGATGATAACTCTACCTTCTTTACTTTGAGGTGGCTATCGTGAGACGCTGTCTCGCTAGCCAGACTGGCAAGATGTCGCTTGTTCAATCCCTGCATTGGCCGAGAAAGTTCATCAGGTTTTCCTGACGTGGTTTCCCCTTGTCAGTAGTGCAGGACGGAGAGCCTGACAAGGACAGCTGTCTAGTAGTTTGGATGGGACGAAAAACCAGTGTCCTGTGTATAAATTGGTGTGCACATTAAAGATCCCTTGGCAGTTGGAATTCGGTAAGAGTAGGCCATAGTGACGCTGCCCGGGTAAAATTTCCCTCATTGCACACTGTATGGCATATGCCCTTCTTCATTAGCCCATTCGGAGTAGGACAGTAAACCCAATTTCATTTCATTTCTTTACTGTGAGTTGCTGCTTCCAATAGGCCATGGTAATGTCATGATATTATGTCTGGAGATATGTAACTTTAATCACCGACACCGCAACGACCACAACATCATATTGAGCATAAACTAACACAGTCTTCTTTAAAACAACAATTAATTAATTCAGTTTCTTAGAAATTAAATATATTGGTGCAGGTTTTAGTGATAAATATTAAGTTCAATATTAATTAGGTCACAGCGTAGGCTACTGTTCAGTATGAGTGAATTTACACAACGGCTTTGTGTACTTTAAACGTTAAAAAAATATAAGTTTGTGTTTATAATATCCTAATAAACAGCCCATTTGATCAGATTTTTGGCCAAAGGACGAGGTATAAACAAAATACAGCAGTAAACTTATGCCAAATCTGTATAATGCTTATCATGGAGACCAGTGAGTGTGTTGAACCAACTACGTCACTTCCGGATTTAACCAAATTTAATTTTTGCTTACAAAAACATTTTTGCTTGTTTTACAGAGGGGATTATATATGATATATATTTAAAATTTATGGAAACCTTGTTGAAAATCGTTGGTCTTCCTCTTTAATGTTGGTCTGATTAAGTTATTGTGATATTGTGAAACCCTATTAATGTCGCTCTTTGATCTTTGATATTGTCACTGTTTGTTACTATCAACATCTTGGGTACTGATTATCTTTATTATTACTACTAAGGGCCAATTATCTAGTATTATTTGTCTTATTATTGTCATTATGGTTGCTTTTAATTATTTTAATGGTTTCTTCTTGTTATTAATTGGTTGGGTGTTAACCAAAATATGTATAAATAAGCTGATGAGATGGATATATTATTATACGCCCACATTTTCATGTGGACGTATATTGTCGTCCGTCCGGACGTCCACAATTGTTTGTGGACACTCTACAGGTCACAATTCTTATCCGATTTTGATGAAACTTGAAATATAGGTTTATCTCCAAAAGATCTTGGTTGCTTTCGATATTGGCATGTATCGGATTGAAACTTCATGGATTATGGCCCCTGAAAATCACGTTTTTAGCTTGTGGACCCTAGAGAGGTCACAATTTTAAACCGATTTTGATGAAACTTGAAATGCATGTTTATAACCCAAAGATCTTGAATTCTTTCGATATTTGCGCATATCGGATCGTAACTTCCCTGATTTATGGCCCCTGATTACATGTATACGAAAAATCGCCTTTTTTAGCTTGCGGTCCCTCTGGAGGTCACAATTATTATCCGATTTTAAAAACCGTTTGATTATATCATCATTACACCATAAAAGAGGTGAAAATCAGACCAAAACTGCCAGACAAAATGGCCACCCCTCGTACGAAAATAGTGTAAATATATGGTATATCAAGGTTGTGGACCCTCTAAAAGTCACAATTTTGATCCGATTATGATGAAACTTGAAATATATCTTTATATCCCAAAGATCTTGGTTCCTTTCGATATTCCTGCATATCGGATCGTAACTTCCTGAATTATGGCCCTTGATTGTTCGAAAAATCGCTTTTTGTTTAGCTTGTTCTCTATCCATCTCTTGCAAAATGTTGGCGTATTTATTTTGTCTAGGATATCAACATTGGTGGAAGTGAAAGTAAAATTCCAGGAACAAACCAATGGATTTATCATCAACTTGAAAACGTGACCTTATGTGTTACGAAACGTCGTTATTAGATAATACTAATAGAGAAGTAGTAATATCCATATACCTTGTGTTTTGTTTTGTTATGAATAGTTAACAGTGCTTCTAGATGTCGTTTAAAGAATTGATACCAGTATGTAAATGTTATCAGGAATTGATGTCATAGACAAAAATAGACCAATATTGGACATCAAAGGAAACTTTTTTATTTTTCAACAATCAATTTTAATGCGTTTTTCACAAATTGGTAGGTGTTCGTAACTCACAAGTTTTGTCCTTTTGAATGTGATCTCTACCACGCATGCGTATGACCTAATTTTAAGCTTAAAATTGTAAAACTGAAATTTCTGCACGTTAACTTTTTTTATTTTTGTAGTTTTCGACTTTCAGAATCCCTTACAAATGGGTGGATTAAGCCAAAATGTCAACAAAAATTTTCTGATTATGTCACTTTTGAAAAAGAGGTCAGATTTTCAACTTCTTTAATTTTGCCTTATTTAAAAATCTTTGTCAATAGGAGTCATCTATCAAATATTTAGAGTAATCTCATCAATTTAAAATTCACTGGAAGTGCCACCATTTTGAAAACGTAAGTCAGTCTTTAAAATCTATCTCGTCCTACAATTCTTATCCGATTTTTAATATCTTGATATTTTTGGAAACCATTCACTATTGACAATATATTGCTGAGATTAGAATTTTGATATTTGTAAAATGAGTTATAAAATTGAATCTTTTAAAAAATTGTTTTCGTCCTGTTCGGAAAATTAATCTAATTTTATTTTTCCATTCTGCCTGGATTTCAGAAACTGTAAGTGATAGCGGTCTGAATATAGATTTTATTCCAATGAAAGTTGTTAACGGTTAGGACTTAACTATTTTGAAAGGTGCTTCCTCGCTAACCAAGAGATGTGCCTTATTCCTTCACATTAATAATCAATTTATTGTGTCAGGGCCAACAAAACACATTACTTAACTAGTTATTGCAATCAATGTATTATTGTGTGATTGTTTTGTATAAAAACTTTTAAGTTGTCGTAGTGACAAGTCTAGTTATATAAATGTTTGTTTAAAATTTTCCATGTACTACTGTCGGTTAGTGCTAGTATTTTTGATAATTAGATGAGACTTCAATCTGATTAAAACATAGATCCTTTTTCATTTCGTTTTTTATAGTTCAAAATTTTGTTTTATTTGTCTTTACTGCACTGGGGTGGAAGAGTTGTTATATAACAGGCGTTCTAGTTGATGTGAGGATTTAGTCAATGAAACGGTCTGTTACAGCGAGTTCTTGGCATGCTCTGCACAAAACTGTGGGTAAACATATAGAATCGTCAACCCTGATTAATTAATCAATGTCTGATGTCATAGGGTCAAAAGCTGATCGTATAATCCCTGAAACAACCTCCCAGTACAACTGTCCAGATCTTCATGTAGTGTAGGCCATCGAAAGTATAAAAAAAACAAAACGAAATATTGTATAGATGATCTGTATTTTAATCAGATTGATGAGACTTGAGTTATTAACATGATAAATGACTGATAATATAAAAAATTAATTAGATTTTGTCTTGGTTATATGTGACATGTTGCCTTTTTATAGTTATTTTTTTTTAAAACCATCAATGAAATCAAATAAATCCTTGATGAAACAAATAAATCCTTTATGAAAAATATAAACTGTGTTATTGTCGGTTGTACTTATTATTAATTGTTATCAAGTGATATCTGTCCTCGGTTAGAAACATTTTATCTGGTACTGATTGGCATTGTTTATAACATTGATCAGTACAGATAAACTAAGAATAGAAATCTATATAGTGGTGATTAGCAATCCTAGATAAAATAAGGTAATATTGTAACCTCTGATAAATGACTTGATTATTATAAATCTCTTGATTACGCTTATGTCTTATATAATGTCACTTGATTAAACATACATTATGCAAGAGTTAAATCTGCCGGTTCCAGGTCTTTCTTTAGGCCTGAAATGTTATCTAAATTATTAATTAGAAATTTTTATATTTACTGGATTAGAATCTGATCTACTGCTCAACGCTCATTGATGATTAAATCAAAAAATGAATAATCGTGGTTGTGTTTTTTATTGTACCAACTTTAGTAATGATAATTGGGGCTAGGCCTAAACTTCAATCGCTAAATTATCGGTTCAGAGTGGATCAATTTGACTGAAATTTTCAGCAAATTCCCTTTACATTATCTAATTTTTAACTATTAAAGTGAGAACTGCTAGCTCTTTGTTTAATTTACCATATCTCTTTGAAGTTTAATTTACATGTAACCGCTAGGGGTAGGAGTCAGACATAGGCATTTTGTCAGTTCCCTGATCTACCACTCATTTATACTAAATTATAGTGTATATAATATCTCTTTAAAAAAAACCAACATAACTTAACAACTTCTGTGATTGGTTAAAATCATTAGTTAAACATTGAACACAAACATCTTCAAGGTGTTGTTAGACTTTTCTGCGCTTTAAACAGTATAAAAATAGAAAAGATAAGTGTGGCCATGTAATAGGTTCATTTATTTGTGTGTCCAAAGACAAAATTAATCAAAACCTGTAAATACTTACAATATTTAAATTATGATATATCATATCATAAGGTGACAGAATATTCTAATTAAAAAATGCAAGGGGATACAAACTCACACTATTTTGAATACAAAATGGGGGACAAAATAATCTAGATTGATGTTATGAATGTTTCATTAACATAACAGTTCTTGATAATCAAGGCTCAAGTTCAAGCCACTATTGAAAGTATTTCATAGTCTGCGATATCACCATGAATTAGACATAAAGCCCTATATGACACAAACAAACTTGTTAATAGATCAAAAGCTGATTATTACAACAAACATATTGAAGATAATTTCGATAACCCAAAAGCACTTTTTGGCACCTTAAATGCTTTACTTGGCAAGACGCAGGATGTGCCCTATCCCAAAGAAGATGATTTGATCAACGCAAACAATTTCAATATATTTTTCATCAACAAGATCAGCAAGATCCGTTCAGAATTCAATCCAGTTTTTGATAGCAGTGTTGCTGATCATTACATGGGTGAAAACTTTGAATCTTTTGAACCAGTTAGTGAACATAATCTTAAATGTATTATTGAAAAGTCTAAACCCACGTCATGTGGTTTGGACCCCATTCCAACCAATCTTCTGCTTCAAGTGTTGGATGTTCTTCTTCCTGTAGTAACTATAATTGCTAATACTAGCCTGAAGAATGGTACTGTACCTCAGGCTTTTAAACATGCTATCATTAAACCTTTATTAAAGAAATCAACACTGGATACGGAAATTCTAAAAAACTACCGACCCAAGATCCTTGAAAAGGTGGTCAAATTGCAGCATGTGAATTTCCTGGAATGAGCCAATCTTTGGGATAAATTCAAGTCTGCATACCGAGTAGCACACAGCACAGAAACTGCTCTCAACTGTGTATTAGAAGCAGCTAAGCGATCTGTTGACAATGGTGACGTGTCAATGTTGGTGTTACTTGATTTATCAGCAGCTTTTGACACAATTGATCACAGGAAGCTTCTGCATCGTCTTGAGGGTGATTATGGAATCAGTTCAGTTGCCTTAAATTGGTTCTCGTCATATTTGTCTGGAAGGTCCCAAGCTGTAGTAATCGGAAAAGCTGTCTCAAACTCATTGACTCTAACATGTGGTGTGCCTCAAGGATCCGTTCTTGGACCAATACTGTTTTGTCTCTACACTAAACCCCTTGTAGAGCTATTGAATCGACATCTGGTTTCCCATCACTGCTATGCTGATGACACCCAGTTCATCGACAGCTTCTCCCCATAGGATCGATAAGGCACCTCATAACCAGGGATGCAGCCGCCTCCCTTGTACGCTGTATGATCATGTCAAGGCTTGATTATGGAAATAGTTGGTTAGCAGGCATCTCGAAAGAACAGCTATATCGGCTTCAACAAATTCAGAATCGCTGCGCCAAATCGTCACGAGGACTAAGCTGCGTTCTCACATATCTCCAGCTCTAAACTCTCTACACTGGCTTAGAATTCTGGAACGGATCGAATTTAAAGTACTCTCCTTAACATTTCAAACGGTGTCAAAAATGGCTCCACCCTACCAACAGGATATTGTTCATCCATATGTTCCATCCAGGTCCCTTCGCTCCACTGATCAATGTCTGCTTGAGACGCCCAAATTCAAATTGAAAACATTTGGTGCCAGATCTTTTTCCTATATCTCTGCAACGCTTTGGAATTCACTGCCCCTAAAACTAAAGTCTGCTGAAACATTAACTTCATTTAAATCAAACCTAAAGACCCATCTTTTCAAACGTTATATTTAAATATGACATTATCATGTGCATTTTGTGTTGTAAGCTTAGTGCGTTTGGTGTGTGGTCAGCGCTTAGAGCATTTCCCTATCGTGATGTGGATTTTAGCGCATTATAAGACTCCTTATTATTATTATTATTATTATATTACATGTATAACTAGTAGTAACAGGGTTTGATATAGTTTTGAATTTTGAATTTATGCTTTGTTTAGTTTTCCTTCAGTATTGTTCATCCTTTACGCCTTTGAGAATGGTCACTTATGTAGAAAATAGCACTAAAAAAAATGAACAGTTATCAGTATACTGTACTCAAAACACAAATTGGGGGGTGATTTAAATTAACTGAGTCCAGCAGTAAGCCGGTTTCTGAAATCTGTACATAATGGTATGATTCTACAACTGCAAGGGCTGTCAAAGGCTTATAAATGATCTAGACAGTGAAATTTACATTTTTATCAGAAGAAAACCAAAGCTTATATATGTGTTGGTAAGAGCCAACCATGTGGGTTTTCTGCGGGTACTCATCAATCAAGTGAATTATTGAAATAAAAATTATGTTAGTCTCAAAATAGCCTAGTTATTGAACATCTTGTAACTATTTTAATTCAGTTTTGGTTACACAGTTTGATATTTTATTAAATTGAATTTTATGTACATCTTCTTTTGTTATTTTTTCCAGATTTACTAAGAATTTGTCGCCTGATAAAATTAATCTCAGTACATTGAAAGGTGAAGGAGAACTTTCAAATCTTGAATTGGATGAAAATGTATTGACAGAGTTATTGGATCTTCCAACATGGTTAAATATAAAGAAAGCGTCATGTAACAGGGTATCTATAAAGGTGAGAAGCCATATAAGTTTTTACACTGATTACAAGCACATCAATAAACACTCAATAAAGCCATACGACAGAGTTCCATTTATGAGTTGCTCGTTGGGAATTTAAGCTTAGTCTCTTCTCATTTAAAGCATTCTACAGACTAATATATAAAACCGAACTGGATTTGCTATTTTTATCTATGTATTATGGCTTTAGTTATCATATCATAAATTTATACCAAGTTAACCAAGTGTGACTGCAATAGAGTAACATGTTACAATAAACAGAGACTTCAGATTGGATGAAATGTGACCAATGTTGAGCATAATGATGCATTCTTTAATTAAAGGCTGTTCCTACTGTTCAAAATGAATATGGTGTAATGCTGTTGACACATGATAATGTGAAGATAGAACATGTGGTCAACTAAATTATTGCCAAAATTGGTACCGTATTTATAGGTACATTAAACACTCCGACTGAAATTGCCAGAATAGAGGAAGTAAAGAAATGGGGTTTAACATACTACTTTTCTGCACTGACTGGGCTAATGACGACGACATATGCCATACAGTGTGCTATGAGGGAAATTTTGCCTGGTCAGCAGCGCCATGGCATAATCTTATTTTGAATTCCAACTTTCAAAGGTCCTTTGATGTGAATGTGTAAGCTTAAACAGAACCTCTTCCTTTTATACATTTTCATGTGGACGTATATTGTCGGTGCCCCTATCCGTCCGTTCACATTTTGTTTACATACACTCATCTACAGGTCACAATTTTTATCCAATTTTAACGAAACTTGAAATATAAGTGTATCTCCCAAAGATCTTGGTTCATTTCGAAAGTGACATGTAACGGACAGTAACTTCATGGATTATGGCCCCTGATTGTACGAAAAAACACGTTTGTAGCTTGTAGACACTCTAGAGGTCACAATTTTTATCTGATTTTGATGAAACTTGAAATATATGTTTATAACCCAAAGATCTTGGTTCCTTTCGATATTCGCGGATATCCTAATGTAACTTCCTGATTTATGGCCACTGATTGTACGCAAAAAATCTGACCCAAACTGCCGGACAAAATGGCCGCTCCTTGTATGCAAATATGTAGTACCAAGGTTGTGGACACTCTAAAGTCACAATTTTTATCCGATTTTGATGAAACTGTCGATATTTGTGCATATCTGACTGTAACTTCCTGGATTATGGCCCCTGATTGTACAGAAAATTGTTTTTAGTCAGTATTGAAAAATTGAATTTTATTATTATGACGATCAGTTAAGGATTTACTATTGTTACTACTATATGAATAACAAAAAAAAAAAAATTTGTTTATAGATTAGAAATTTGAAATGTCACATCTGATCTTTTCACAAACGAAAAACAGGCTGTAGTATTTCATAATGTATTAGTATTAGGCTTTAACAGATAATATACTTTGAAATAATGTTTAAATGGTTGGTGGGCTATCTTCTTTTGAATTATTCTGAGAAAATTATTCTGTTGAACAAATCTGAACAAACAACAGAGTTTATTTATAGATCCAATCTTGTATCATTGGTTGTGTATCCACTGTGATCTGTATTAAATCAGTTGAAAGAGATATGGTTTGTAAGGACCTTGTGGCATTAACTGTAGAATTAGACATGGTATTTAATTACATTCCTGAGGTACATGTTGTATCAATAAGAGCAATGAAATAACTTCTGCTTAGGTTTTAATTTCCTACGGATGCTTAAAGCTGACTCGGCTGAGATCAATAAAATATGGTAACCTTGCTCTTAACGCGTTCTATGCATGGTTAGCAGTAAAAAGTAGTGGCTTTAGAACTAAAGGCATTTTTATTAAAACTCTAATGGTAATAAATAATCTATTTGTGAAAAATCAATGTCCTTGCTGTAACTGAAATGTCAAGTTTTTATTTAGTAAGTACCTGTAGCTTGATTATCCTTTCCCAGGTTATGATACCAAATATTCAGATTTTCTTTCTTTTTTTTTGCTCCGTAAGCTTTAATCATATTATTTAAAAGTTGTGACGCAAGGTATCGTTGCCAATCATAATGCATGATGCTCAGAGTGATTACAAATTCTTATCATGTTTAGGCACTGGACATCTTCATTCTCATTACAATGTTAGCAAGTGTAACACAACTACATGTATTAGTCTCTTCTTTGACGACAACTTTTATTATATATTGAGATGCTCCATTTTAATAGGAAGGTTGAAAATCACAATTTTATGATGTTCAGACATGGGGTATAAGATGTGTTTCTTAAAAAGCTAGGATCAGGTATACAAAATTTGACACATAAAACACAATGCAGTGAGAAAGTGCCAGTTGTGTTAATTCAAGAGGGCATGAGTACTAGAGCATCAGAGCCACTGGAAGCAATAAGACTGTGGAGACGGATCTCACAGGCAATCATTCAGGGACATTTCATTGCTTGTGACAAATGATTGACTTTTGATTTTCACCCTTGTGCCTATGCTTCACTGTAAATGAAATTGTCATAGCCTCCTTGTGCTCTTTTTAGAGTCTCAAACTGTCCAGCTTACGATCATGCCAAAAATCAAATGTCAAATCATTAGTGCATTTTTATTGCGTCTCGATAGATATTGAATTGAAACAGTATGATAAGCTTATTAATTTATAATAGAAAAATTCCACAAATAGCATCATTTTAAGCTTTTTCTGAAAAACTGGTAGCATAGCTCCTAAGAGAAAAAACAATCCAAATTGATTGATATAGTGCAGGTACCAGTAGGATCATATGACGCGTGTAAAGTTAGTAAACTCTCTTTATGATATGACTGTGTATCTGAAGATAAAGTATTATTAATGTAAATATCATTATTATAAATATATTTAACTTTATATACTGTATATATCCATATTGATTTTTCTCATGACCATATGGTGAATTACTTTGATGGACTTAACACTACTTAAACTAACATTTCCATACTGTTATTACACTTAGGCTCCTATTAACCTATTTCACATTTGATTTAGTAACCTCGTTTGAACATTTTAATTTGTTATTTAATATCAGCGTTTAAAAGATCTGTAATAACTTGTTATATGTTTGGATATTACTACCTTGAATACCAATATTCATTTTTTTTTTTTCTTCATTAAATGGATCATTGATTTCATTCAGGGCCAATACATGAAATGAGAGAAGGCAATACAGATGGTGGTATAGAAGTCTGCCATTAATTTGAATTGATCTGAAAAGAAATTCAGAGATTTATTCTTTATTCTATGTTATATGTGTATTCAAATTGTTACTGAAATGTTAAGTAATAACATAAGCTTATTTATACCATCAGTAAAAGTGGAGGGGCGGGGGTAGGTGGCTGAATACCTTAGATCATAAGGTCTTTCATTGAGTCAAAGTGGCGTAATTCCAAACTTATACCTGACATGGGTAGGGTCGCCTGTTCAACCTCAAGGAGTTTTTCCGGGTCCTCCAAGTTTTCCCCAACAGATAAATACCCCAATGTGCAAGCAAATTATTGAACCATATGTGAGTCCCGAAATGACCTTTTTTCTGTCGAGTGGACATTAAACTCTCTCTCTCTCTCTCTCTCTCTCTCTCTTAGAGTAAAAGTTGTCCATATTTGCAAATACATACTTTCGGTCAAAGAAGTATAAGTAAGAAAATCAGTGTGATGTGAGATAATTTACAATCAAATTCTGCTACAAACATAGATAATAGATCATTTGGTATCATAAATAATGTCATATTTTTTAGACTTGAATATATTCCATCTAAAACAAAAGATTTGTCTCTAGTAACTTGAGCCTTGATATATTTTAGATCCAAGCATGCAAATTTATACCTACAGCAAAACTGCTACTTAATGCAAATCAGATTGCCTAAAATGCTATGTACCGGGACTTTCCCTGCAAAATAAAAAAGTGACTGTACATTGTGTTTGAATTGATCAATTTATTGTGGTGAATTGGAAAGATAATTTCAGGAGCCTTGCAATATGATGATTAACTTCTATTCTATCCGATCATTGATTTCATATCACATCAAATTAAAGTAACATGGAGTTGAGCTAACTGATTGACGAGTCTATCTATGGCTCATATAACGATGGTAAACAGACTTACCTTGTAAGATGTACTTCAGTGCTAAAACTATCATGGTTAATTTATTAAGTTGGTCTTTTATTGATTGTAAACAAGGAAATAAATTATTAACTTCTCTTTACAGATACAATGGACGAAATTAAAGTCACAGCCCATATTATTGGTGTGTATATTTATAAGACTATTAGAAAATATTTGATAAAAACTGAACTCTAAATTAGAAGTATTATTTGAAGCCAAATGTTAAAGCTTGTATTATCCTATCATTTATAATTATACATTAATTTTATGCTACAGACAGGTTGATTATATTGCTGTTGCATTTTATCAACCTCAGATTATTTGCTGTAATTTCATTAAAACAATATTGAGTGTATATTTGGATGTTGATGGATTGTTTTACTTGTATTTAGTGTTTGGATGAGGTTATTGTCGAAACAGAAACATGTGAAACGCCCCGCCCCCTTTCCAAACCTGGTTCATCTGATTCACAATACAGGTAAACTTAAAAACACCTTATTCGGTGAATAAAATTTATAAAATTCTTGGAAATGAAAGAAACATCAGGTAAAGCTTTGTAAAAATAAAAGTTGTGATATAATGATATAGGTTCGACATAAGATCTCCATTATATGACATTTCTCAGTTGATTGATTGACTTCTACATTCCAGAACAAGAATTCAGTGAAGAGCGTATTTACATGCATAAAAAATCCTAAGCATCTAATGATTCTATTTCATACTTTGAAGTAGGAATTATATGCAGTTAATTAATTAACCAAACTGATTGACTAATATAAAGCTTTATTTATTTTAGATCGGGTGGTAAATATGGTTTTACAGAAGTTGTTTTAGATGGTATTTTTGTTCGTGTTAATTCTGTGCTAGTCAAACTGGTTTCTAAAACCTTTCAGGCTGCCGTAGAAGTAAGTCAACAATTACTAATTGTTATGGTTTGTAACTTCTGTATGTTAATGTTAACATTATAATTGTGTGTGATTAATCATATTTGAGTTAATTAGTTCTATATGAATAATTATTAGAATAAAAGTTATTTTCTTGATTATTTTTATGGGCCACATTTCACATCAAAATTCAGAATTGTGCAACGATTTTTCAGTGTTCGCTTACTGTCGGTGTTGCCAAACCCTATTACCCCAGTCCGTCTGTTTGTCCAAAAAAATTGTAATGGCTCTACAGGTCTGAGTTTTTTAGGATTAATTCCCAAAGTTTCTAGGGTTGTTGACCAACATTTAATCACAGAATTACTGCCCCTTTTGTTAAAACCTTGCATTTCTAACTCCCTTGGATTGGCAAGATTATCCTATCAATGAGTATTGGTGGATAAATATATTTGTTGCCTGGCAACACAGTTTTTAAAAAAAATACAGTATACTTAATAACTCAAATAAAAAGGAATAATTTGTTATCTACCATATTTTGACACACACACACACACACACACACACACACACCACCACACAATAAATGACAATAGTGATGATAATTAATATACTGTTTGATTGTCATATTATTTATTGAGTGTAGACAGACAGTGTTATGACAGTTATATTGATTTCCTGAATAACTTTCTAAAGTTTACAAGTAGTAAATCATATATCTATGAATAATGTATTACAAAAATATATGTCATGTGGAGAATAGATGAATAATACAATAAAATATTGTTCCATTTCCTTGTGTCATGGACAGATAAATTTGATGCCTTTGGGAGTTGAATCATTTATCTTAAGGCAAGTCCAGACCATTAAACACATAATTACTACATTGTGACTATTATCCATACCTGTGGTGAAATATTTATATTCAATGACCGTATAACACAAGAATACCGGTACAAAAATCAGATGAATAAATTCAAATATTTAAAAAAAAAATTCTTGTACAGTTCTTTTAAAGGACCTAAGTCCGTAACTCAAAATCCTCCAAAATCTTCGACATCGAAAACACGAATTATTGGTCAATTTAAATCAACATTGATGATGTAAACTTACCGGGAAAAGATGAGCTTCTGATATCAGATATTTAAGATAAAATAAATTTTTTAACATTGGTACACGAATCGTGTACCATAATGCGCTTCAGCCCCAGTTGTATTGAGAGACTCGAGGGACGAGGCTAGACACTTTGCACCAAATCAAATGGAGTTATGTAGACTAGAATAACTAGACGCTAGAAATTTGCACTCGATTGAGATTGCTGACTTATTTCGCCGAACATAACTGATTTGAAATTGGAGTAAAAACGGAAACCATTAAATGTAAATCAGTTTATATACATTCATATTACAGTATTATATGCGTTGCGACCCACTTTTGTGAATTTCTAGGTCCCAAATGTTAGCGATTTAGCTCCTTTAAATGATTATTGCCACACAGTTAACAATTGCTATGACTTCTGACAGGCAAATCAACATGCTTTAAAGATAATGTTATGCCGAGTGCCTGAGGCATGGTGTGATTACTCTTTTTTAGAACACTTCTTTTGTTACTTATGAATCTGCGTCTGCACCCATAGTATAGTGTGACTGCATTCTGCATGCCCCCATGTTTGTGCTGATTGTCTGCTGAATGTGGCAGTAGTGTACGTACTGTACCTTTTATCTGACATGATTGAATATCTTAATAATGCAGAATTAAGCTACCACTACAGGTATCTGCATCTGGTTTATTGTTTTGAGATGTACGTGCATGATATCTGAATCTCAATGTTAGCGTCAGAAAATCAAATCAAAAGAATTACCCACATATAGTGACCTACCAATGTTACTCATTCATACCCAATACCTCATTGAATGAAACCCTAATTAAAGATGCATTATGTAGGATTTAGATAAAGAGCTGGCCGGTCTTGCTATAATTGATTTAAATCTCTGCCACCCGATGGTCTAAAAAGTTGATTAAATAATAGTTTATATAACATTTGAAGTAGTGATGGTCCGATGTGGCACCTATCGGTTTTAGCGATATCAGATATTGACAAAGAAATATATCGGCCGATACAGATACAATTACCGATAGTGGTGGATATAAAACTAATACACATTAAAATGTCTCGAATGGCATGATAATCTATGTAGATATATGTCATTGTTAGTTCGGAAATGCATGATACTATTTTACCTCAGGAATCAAACCCGAAAACTGTGTTTTTGAAGTAATAAAATTGTGTCACGTTTTCTATGCAATCACAAATACACTCCATCTATTATGAACTTAATTATTTGCTGTATCATTAATGAATAAAGTCGAGAATATGATATTTTAAGTGTTGATTACGATGTAATTCCCTAGAGTGATCTGCACCTGTATGTCTATAATAGATGTCACAATGGTTCATGCGGTGATGAATGATACATCAAAGCATAGCTTCCTGACCTGTCTGTCAACAGTGGCAATCATGTGACATTCTCCTGCCATTTCTAGAACAAAAGTTAAAAATAAAACCATCTAATGGGAACTTATTTGTTGGTAATATTATTAATTAATAAAGTATGATCTATACTATGAGTTATTATTTGTTGATACAAATTCTGTCTAAATTTTTAAAGTAGCCTAGCATAACAATACAAATCACTGAATTATTTCTAAATTTTTATCGGCATCTAGAAGCCAGAATGTCTTACAGTAATCATGTGACATCAACGGGATATCCCCCCTTTTATCTTTCATTCCAGTCACGCGTAAACCATGTGATATTTTGCCGCCTTTTCCAAAACTTCTACTCATTATGATAGTGTCCAGACAATACCAGCAATGAACTAGATAAAACGAAGGAAAAAAAAAAATGATGCTATGTACATGTAATAAGATTTGGAACTATTTCACGATAAGCGACAGCACAAGACTTGCGATGCTTCATACCAGCTTGATATGCAATGATGAGCCATTGTTGACATCTTTTTTGGTTTTATTATTGAGAATCGTGATAGACAAATAACTATTGTGAGGACCTTTGTTTATTTCATATATTTAATAACTTTTTTTTAATATTTATCAGAAACAATTTAAATAAAAATTTAATAGCCTAATTAGGTATTGTTCTAGTTTGTGATCTTGTAATATCAGCACACATTGGCTTATGCTCTATTCCAATCAAAAGTTTTATCGGGTGGACTTTTGTACGTTAATGTCTGTCTTCACATGTGCAGAAATGGTATTCTCAAAAATCGCATTGAGAGAACCAAACTCTCAAACAGTGTGTGAATAAGGATTTAAAAAAATAACGGAGACTGGTAAGGATTTTGTACTGTTTATTCTTTCCTTTTTACGAGAGTCTTGTATTACCAGTACGGCTAAATAGCAATGCGCACGTGCGCGTGGCTATTTAGTTGCACTGCGTGTTGAGCAAAATAATGATTTGTTCACCACTCGGATAATATTTTAAAGGTAATTACCGAGTCATTTTGAACTGATATCGGCAACCCCAGTATCGGCAAAATGGTTGTGTATCGGCCGATACCGATTTCTCCCGATAGGCCACTTATTGGCCAATTACCAATGTTGAAACCGATCGCGATTACCGTATCATCACTAATCTGAAGCCAAAATAATGACCTGCAATAGGCAGATTTAACACTTACATAATGCATCTGTAATTTACATACATACATACTTATTATCTTTTGTGCAATTATATAACTTAATAATTCCGATTAGTTGCAAAACTGATAGTTTATTAACCTTTTGGCATTATTTTATCTGGATTATCGCGCTTTTTGTTGTGGTGTTTTTGTCACTTTCTAAAACTCTGACGTCATTGACAACCTATGTCATTCAGTCAGCAGACGGCTGTCTTTCGAGACAGTCTGCATTTTCTCATTTGATTCTTTGTCTTCAGTATTGTTTGTTTTTTGCTCTGTTTTTGTGATGTGGAACATTTACCCTACTCTGTTCAATAGAACATTTAGTTTTAGACTACCTGGGTTTTTTTTTATACATTTCACCTATATACCGGTACTTGTATAGTTTAAATTTTACTACAATATGCTTACATTCATATTTCTTGTAACATATAGCAGATCATGACTCCTGCTGGCATTACACAATGGATTCTCTGGGTTTTATTCCTGATTGTTTTCAAATTTGAGTGAAGTCTGTGTCACTACAGGCCCGGGACTGTACCGTGCAGTGGACGCTTACGGCTAGCCCCCGGATCCATTCCCTTTATTTGAAATGTGGGTTTTTTTGTGAGTTCTGCGTAATATGTCTTGTCCGTATATTTGTTTTTGTGTAAATTATGTGTGGTGCAGTCCCCCTGCACTTACTATTAAGTGAAATGATCAAGACTACAGTAGACACATTTTTCTAGTTCCCAAATATATCAAAATGTAATTTTGTACATCAGGTGGTCATTATCCCAAATTAATTTGACCATGCAATTATGTTCTAGCTATCAAGGCTAACAGTAAAAAGTGTAACCCCAACATGGAAGGAATCCAACAATCTTCGTCAGACAAGAATCAAGGAGGTAGAAAGAGATGCCGTTTTATTATTTAAAGAAATAGAATGGCAAAATACAAGAATTAATGCTTCATCTGTTAATGTAGGAGTTACAGATTTCTCCTCACCTTTAAGACTCATCGCTAATCAGGCTAAAATACGAATAACCACTAAGAAACGGTTGAGTGGTAAGTTAAGTCTCTGTTAAAAGTTCTCTAAATCTCATCTTAAACTTTTCTTTTCCAAACCATGGTGTTACAAATAATTTATAATTTGAATTTTAAACCCTGTGAAAGTGATGGAGACTTCTTAATAGAATTTTTAAAGTAGCTAAGTCTCTAACTCAATATCATCCAAAATCTTCAACATTGAAAACACGATTTATTTGTCAAATTAAATCAACATTCATGTTGTGATCTTACCGGAAAAAGATGGGCTTTTGATATCCAATATTTAAGACAAAATAAACATTTTACCATTGGTACACGAATCGTGTACCATAATGCGCTTCAGCCCCAGTTGTATCAAGAGACTCGAGGGACGAGGCTAGACACATTGCACCAAATCAAACGGCGTAGGTATCCTGGAATAACCAGACGCTAGAAATCTGCACTCGCTTGAGACTGCTGGCTTATTTCGCCGAACATAACTGATTTGAAATTGGAGTAAAAACGGAAACCATTGAATGTAAATCTGTTTATATACATTCATATTACAGTATTATATGCGTTGCGAACCACTTTTGTCAATTTCTAGGTCCCAAATGTTAGCGATTTAGCTCCTTTAAACATTTCTTAGAATTCATAATTTGTTTTAAATAATGAATTTGCTGCTAGTAGATGTTGCTAATTTCTGTTTGTTTTTATTTGCAGATTCAAGTGTGATTGCTTCCCGACTCACTCTACATTTAGCTGATTTACTGTGGGTATTAACTAAAACACAGTTAAAGGAAGCCATATTATATGCCAATTCTTTAACCAAAATTATTGAAAATTCGTCTCAACAAAGTAAACAACGAGCTGCAGAGCAATTACAGGTAACAGTATTCTTTTAATTCCATTTTATGTTCTTTAAATGAAGTGCAGTGTAAAGTGCCCTGTGTGCCATGAGGGGAATTGTGCCCTGAACGCGGCGGTACAGCCTATTCTTCTTTTGATTTACAAAAGTTGTCATCTGATCGTTAATGTGCTGCCAATGTTATACATGGGATCTCATCCAAATGACTACAGGTAGATGCCCTGATCCACTGCACTGACAAGGGAAAACCAGGCGGTAAAAACCTGAGGAACTTTCTCATGCCATTCTCACCAAACTACAGTGGCTACTTAATGCTATAGATACTTGTAAACAAATAAGTTTCATATAATTTGCTTCTAATACTACAGTTTGCTGTATTGTAACCAAATTTGGAAGGAAGACATGTGGTGTTTGTTCATATTTCTTCAAATGGCATTCATCTTAGGGGCTTGACAGGAGCACCTTTACATGTTGGTACTGTTTTACTTATTCAAATGAAATGAACTTGGGTAGTTGTTTATAAATTATAAATGCATTTATTTATTTGTTTATCTGTTTCAGCAACAATCACACCATAATGTTACCACCGACCCATCTCGAAACCAAAGTCCTTCACATCAAAATAAAGTTATCAATGAAATATTTAACCGTCATGATGTATTGACCACGTCTTATCATGTTAATGTTAACCCTATCAACTTACATCTATGTGATGATACTACAAATGGTACTGGTAAGTTTAAATTATCCAATCTTGAGTATTTACTAAAGTATGATTTACTAAAGAATAATAATATATTATAATATTTTTACGTACCAGTACATTACAACAAATTTTATGGAATTTTGGATGATTTTAGCTGATGTGGGTGTGTATATCGTTGCCATGCGAAATACCTTTATATATATATATAGTTTATTATAAAAAAGAAAAAAAAAATTTCAATCATTATTTTTCATCACAGAGAACAAGCACAAAATGCAAAAACTTAAAAGATAAGATAACAAATGTCTGGTGTAGATGTGGTATGGATAACCTTCAGTTTGTGTTGTTATACTAATTGTTGATACTTATTTTTTTAGTTGGTAGTAAAGAAAGACTGTGGAATATAGAAGGTGGATCTATGCAAATTACCATGTATAAATTAACACTTGATTTCTATCCATTTCACCAAGCAGGTATTTACTACTTTAAACCAACTTATACATTAGAATATATACAGGCCTTAGCTAATACTTTATACCATTTTATTTTCATTCCGTTTTCAACTTCATCATACCACAGTAAGGACTGTACCTTTTGTACAGTGGTGGAAATTATGCTGTTGGTTGATTTTGTATTATTGGCACAATAGTCACTTTTCACTGGTTTGAATTGACAGGTCACGTTTGTAAGTTAAATAGAAAATTAGTTCAGTTTCATGAGATAACTAGTAATTCCACAGGCTAGGGGTCAGTTTACTGAAACATTTGTGAATTAGAAAAATTAGATTTACTATTTTGATACATAATACACCAGACAGCAGTATATCACAGAAATTTATTAAATACAACAAACTAGTTAAGAAGGTATGATGATTGCAGTAATAGAATATGTGATCAAATATATTTCTGAGTATACTTTTAATCGAATACACAATCGATAATGAAAGATTTGTTGAATAACGTCAATGAATATACACATGGTTAATAAACACAGAAGTGTACAATGATCTAAAATCTGTGGTGACACCACTGTAATTTTCCGATGATCTCTCTCTCCCCCCCCCCCTTTCAAATACAAAATAACCATACACTAAATGTGGATTTAGAAGCGAATATTAATTAAACTTGAAAAGCACTACTGAAATCACCATGAAACTTCCAAAGTTAGTGATTTGATATATATAAATGATATTAGATGGTAGGTGGGTGGGTTATTTGACAATGTACTGAAGTGGGAAAAATGATCTAATATAATAGAAAACAATATTTGTAGATGAAGAATTGATTGTAACACAAGGTAAGTAATAATAAGTTTATCAATGGGACTGGTTTTATTATTAATACAATACTACTTTTATTACCATACTTAAATAAGCATCAGTTTCATTGTTTGCACTTTGTTTAGGATGGGTAGAAACTAAGATGAGAGACTTTGAAAAGACCCAAGAATAAAGACCCACTATTTGATTGCTTATTGATCATCCATGTACCAGAACATGACATACTACTTCTCAAATGGGGATCTTCCTTGTCTAAATTTGCAAATGCTAAAGAAGTAGTCCTTGATTTTTCAGGCTATTTGTTGATAAAAGGCAGTTATAAGCATTCAGATCACCTGTGAAACAATTAAGATATAGTATTTCTGAAACTTTATAGTATGCCTGAAATTGGCAGCTCAGTTCTGTGAACATATGATGATGAATAAGCAAAAAAAAAGACACAAAACAATGCAGGGTCTTCGTTGTTTTTGTTCACCTAGGCCTTGTTCTCTGTTTTTATACACTCTTTTTATCATCTTAGCTTATTTTAGTTAAAGAATTTATCAATAGCATGGTGTCCTGGAGTATACAATCTTATGATAGTTGTTTTATTTATCATATAATCATTATGCAAGATAATCAATCGTATGGGAACTTTAGAATAGAATTATTATTATTTTCTGATATTTTCTCTTTTTTATCTTGATGCATAAGAATTGTGCAGAATTCATTTCTCTTTCTAAAATGGGAAAGTATTTCTTATCCAGGAAGAGTGTTTTACTGTGTAAATATTCTAAACACTGTTGCTATCTACTATAAATCTGATTGGTGGTGATATTCCTACTTGTTTTGTTGATATATTTGTCCAGTTGATTTAAAGTCTGGTTATTGTTTAACATAAATTCATGAGAACCGGAGTATTGATCAGAGCTTGTAAAAATAATTAAGCTTTTAGAAATGTTTTCCTTTAAATCCAATTAGATCATTTGTTGCCATAAATTTTAAACATACCATACAAAAATAAAAAATATATTTGCTGACAGTAATGGCTAGGCTTATAATAAAACTTTAAAAAAATGCTGGCTTCCTCTCATGCTGTAGATAGTCTTAGAACTTATGAAAAGTTATAACTAGTCTATTAAACCAAAACTTGTGATATGAATACTATATACATATGTATTACTGGTAAAAGTTAGATTAGACGATAGCATGTTAGAATTTTGAATCTAATATACCTCCATAAAACATTGCTCATTGTGTATTTCCAGTACCATTACTTAACATCATTGAAACAATTTATTAAAGGCTTGTTGCATCCTTTAGCTCTATAGGAATCCCTTGAAAACCACAATATTGTGAAAGCTTTATCTCTAATAGGAAATTAGGAATATCAGTCCAAAAATGGCTCAATTCCATTCAGTATTTACAAAAATACGATAAATTGAAACTTCATTGTTCTATTCTGCCCCCTGCCGCCATCTTTTAATGGTAGCGGAGAAACCTGACACTACGACATGAAAATTGCTTGCCATTTCTTCAATTTTTAATTAAAACGGCTAAAACTTAGTGACTTTCCTGGAATTCCCATCCCATTACTTTCTTACATGAGGGCACCAATTTCAAATCAAGCTATATAACCTGTCTTGAAAAATCGTGGTTTGTTTTCATCGTGCTACTGAACATCAGCCATGTTTGACCTAGTTTTCAGGAATAGTGGAAGAGGGCCAGTGGTGCTGGTTTGGCTTTGAGTCAGTTCAGCCTACATGGATGTTAAGGAAGTTGTTTACGGCCCAGTATAATATAACTTTTATTTTTACTGAATCACAGACCACAGTTGTTTGTCAAACTTACTTGAATATTTAACAGACAAGCAGGATGTAGCGTTTTAATATTGATATAAACTACACACAAATTTTATCCTGAACTGACGTGATGGAAATTTGGGAGGAGGCTATAGGCGTACATAATAATAACTCGGTTCATAATATGCAAAAGTCATCGCGGTTGCATAGTTATTCCTTTCCTTAAGACTTTGCCTTGAATTTAGGCTGGAGTGATGATCAAACTAATTGTAACCTAATTTCTCATGAAACCATCAACAAAATTAAACTATTTTTATATGATATTAATTATTACATAGGCACGTCTTACATCAAGGACTATAGTGATTTTGTCTGGTGCATTATCGCCCGGTTGACGCTGGTGTGCTATTAATCATCAATTACATCATTTCATTTCATTTCTTCAATCAAGGTTATGTAATGCAGAACACGGCATAGAGGTGTCTGTGAATGATCTCTCTTATTATATAATTTTATTCTTTTCCGGTTTTGTAGATGGGCCCTCCTTTAAAGCCCGGATTTTACGGATAAATTTAATAGATAGGCAGTCTTATTTTTTTAACTTGTATATCGTTAATAATTGTGTTTCTCGAAAGAATTTAATACATTCCTTGACATCTCTCATAATTTTCATCTTGAAATAGTAAATTGTAGATAACAATAATCAATATTTTCTAAGATTTGCTTTTTTTTCTTTTCTAACTTAATATCTGAAACAAATCTTGTGTGCCTAGCTGTTACCTTTTAACTAACGTCACTTAACTTAACATCACTTCGCATATGTGCGTGATACACATGTTAAAAATTTACGCGAAATGGCCATTCTTGGCAATGGTTAAAGTAAGAATTTTTTTGTGATATGTGCTTGATCGTATATCTACACAATATTACTTAAAGAAAATTAGTAAACAGTATTATTAAAGGGTATCGAATAATACTCTTTAGAGAAAAAAAATGTTTGCTTTAAGGGTTGAAAATATAGGTTTTTTTTTCAAAATCACTATAGACAGATGTGTTGGGCAAAACAACGAAAAAGATACTTTTGGACAACTGCATCAAGTTATAAACTATCTTTTGATATCTATATGTTTGCATTGATTTGTGCTTTTCGACAAGTGGAATTAAAGATTTAAAATTTGAATAAGTAAAGAAACAGGTACATTTGAAACAAAAGTTTGTTTAAATAAAGGTTAATGACAAACGGTTACAAAAATGAACAGAAGCAGTAGGCATCAAATGGTGCAAACGTCATGAAAATAGAACAATATTTTATTCTTTTGAAAAGTGACTCGCTCGAAATTGTCCATTTCTCGGAAATGGCAAAAATTCAAAATGGTTCATGGATTTCCTTTGATCTTGTATGTCAATCCTACGTGTATATAAATGTTTAGAATACAAATATTAAAAAAGTGAAAAATTAAATAATTTCAGGAAAACAGAGTTTGAAAATCGGTTCCCGCCTTTGCTCTGCTTATTTACGTGAGCTATCCAGATAAATACAAACTAAATTGCGACGAAATAATATTTTGTATCAATAATTATTATAGCTAGTGCCATCATTTATACTATGCCGTTGATTCTGTGTCAATCGGATAATTATTATTTAGTTTATACCCTAAGAACTGTATCGCCTAAGGGAGATAATTTAGATAAATATATTTTTAATATTTATTCACAGCTTATCAGAACCTATGTACTTTTGAAAACTAATAACGTGTTTATAAAAATGTCACATTTCCAGACCTTGCTCTCAAAAACCGAATGCTTAATGAACAGTTTTTGCGAAATAATCAGGTGGAAACAGAACATAACACAAGCTTCACAATGTGAAACCCTAATAAGTATTACTGCCGCAAAACAAACAGGCGCATTTTCCATCACAAAATATTTCTAACCATGTACGCGAAATGCAAGTCTCCCATTTTATGCAGACGCATTCGTAATGTTTATGTTCTGAGAATGAAATTATATCAAAATATGTCATTACCTTCTAGTAGATCTAGAGATCTCGATTTTATGGTTGATCTCTTTCAAATATTCAATTTCAATTTCCGTGATCTATTTTGGATATAAACAAACCCCATTCTATGAAATTGCAATCTGATTAAAACACAGATCCTATTTCGTTTTGTTTTTTATAGTTCAAAATTTCGTTTTACTTTTCTTTACTACACTAGGATCTGGAAGAGTTGATATATTACCGACATTTTGGTTGAAGTGAGGGATAAGCCAATGAAACGTTCTGTTACAGCGACTTCTTGGCGTTCCATGCACGGACCTGTGGATAAACCACTAGAAACTTCAACACTGATTGATTAATCAATGTCTGACATCATAGGGTCATAAGTTGCTTGTACAACCCCTAACACGACCTTCAAGTACAACTTGTCAGATCTTCATGTAGTTTAAAAAAACAAAACAAAATACAGATCTGTATTTTAATCAGATTAATGATTAATTTTTATATGATGTAGATATGTGGATAGCAAAAAGGCACTACTCCTTAGTTAAATATAATTGATATAGAATAATTTCTTTATGTGTGAAGTTAATTAACTTTCCTTCTTTATCAGGTGGTGAAAGAAAGAAGTGGTATGACTATAAAGAAGTTGGCACTCGTAATATTTGGGTACAAAAATTATTCAATGAATTCAGGACTGATGCAGTTAATATTAGAAAAGCAGGCATCAGCTCTCCCACGACTCAAAAAGCAGCCAATAGCAAAGCTTCTATGCAAACTTCAGGAGTCTCGTCTCCAGTTAAATCTCGATCCACCAAATTACTAGAAAGTTGCAGTGTGGTGAAAGTATCGGATATAGCTATTTACATGGTGTCCACAAGCAGTAGCAAACAATCAACCATGCACAAGTTTTTATCATCAGACAAGAAACAGTTACATTTACCAGCAGATACATCTACTATACATATGGAACATACCAGCTATTTCTTTCCTGAAGAAATATCTTATCCAGGTATGGACAATTTTATTTTACGAGTCTTTATTCATGAAACCGTAAACAGTATTATACATGTATATGAATTCAGCATTTTCATTGGCTGAGAATTAAAATCCTAGTACTAGTATAAATATTAGCTTTTAGCAAATTTAAAAGACAGCATTCTTAAAATATTTTAGTTTCAGATATTGTGAATAAAGACCCTGGGAATGGCCTCATATTCACGCCAATTAGCGGTTACTTCGCTGAACAATGATTATTATTATTGTTTATTGATTACTCAGATATTCATTTAGAATGTCAGTTGTCTTGGTAAACTATGTGACTTGCCATCCATTGTGCATATTTTACCATACCATCCGTTTTACAAATTTGATAAGACTGGTTGAGTAATTGCCTGAAAATATATTTTGGGATATTTCTGAAGAAAGCAGATTTAAATGTCCATATGGGGCTTTCCTGCACCATCACTTGAGGGAATACTATCCGAATAGACTCCTACTGCAATTGTATTTTTAATAATATGTCTTTGATTTCTGCAACCCTGCCGGTGATTCTGTTCATCAAGGGAGATAAATCACTAGACTGAATGAATTGAGATTATAGAATATTTATATAATTGTTTATTTCAGTACCTGATGCCAACATGTATATGATGATCAATCCTATGAGGCTAACTATAGATTATACGACACTATTGTGGGCAAATTATTTCTTCATGGATTTATCACAAAATGTTGTAAGTACCTTAATTCTTTTATTGTTCAAGAAACATGGAATCTATGCAACTTCTGTCCAGATGATTGAAATATTTATAACTAATTAACATCGCTGAATTCTTATATCAACCCATGGACCGTATATAGATGTACAGACAACGAGTCCCTTTGGTTCGATTCTCAGCCGCTCATGCAAGACACATCGAGATCTCAATGTCAACAGTAAACCAAGCAACGTGATTTTTGACATTGCCGGATTTTATACAGATTTTTTTCTCGAACAGCTCCTTAGAATTTACTGTATTCTCATGGTTACACAGTAATTTTTCAACCCCATAAGTATTTCTATCTGGTAGTGATGAATTTCTCCAGTTTAGAACTTTGAAATTTCCAAATGCAGCAGTTGAAAATTGTGAAATGATAGATTTCAATATTTTCATAGTTTTTGTAAGCATTTTGGTTTTGCTTAATAATCCAAATTCCTGTATGTATGAAGGATTTTAAAATTATGAAAATAAAGTTGGTATAATAATGTCCTGAATGATGATTAATTGTACAGAAGTAAAAATTAAGAGTGTTTTAGTAGGTTTGTTTTTAACGAAAACTTGACATATTTTTTTGGGATCCACATGGCCGTGTTTTAATACATTTTTACCCCAATCTATCTATGTATGGGCTGAAAAAAAGAGTAGCAAGATTAATAAAAACATTACAAATTGAATTTGTTTTTTTGCCTTTAAACTTAATACTGGTAATTGCATGAGGGGAGGTAATTTTATCTTAGTCACGATTGTCAGGTCTACTTTTTGCCACGGCACAGAATTCTGAAGGCTTCATGGGCGTTGCCTGTCCATCTATATACGGTCCATGATCGATCTAAGATATCTTAATGAGAAATTGTTTCATTATCATTGAGAATTGTGTACACCATATTGATCATTCATGTTCTTCATATTTGTATATCATAAAAGTTTTTATTCAGTAAACTGCACTATAAAATGCAGAAAAAAAATCTGATCACGCTAAAAATAAATCAAAAACAGATATCAGGTGTTCAAATGATTACATAGCAAGTATTATTACAGGATATGGATCTGATGGAATCGGAAGAACCAACAGAACATACTGATATCAAGATAGAAGCTGTCATGCCAAGGGTAAAATTTTTCCACCAAAACTTAGTAAATGAGTTTTATATTGTGATGTTATAATCATAAAAGTTGTCTTTCTTCCTTAATTCTGTGACCTTTCTCCAATTCTGATAAATGTTATTCTTTAAGTTTAAGCTGTTAAGGAAGATAAGTAAAAGATGGGGTCTAATCACTAATGTCAATGAAAAATTTAAAACTCAGTGGGTTTGTTCATTAATGTATAGGACAGCTGTCTAGTCGTTTGGATGGGACGGAAAAACCAAGGTCCCGTGTAGATATTGCTGTGCACGTAAAAGATCCCTTGACAGTTGGAATACGATATAAGAGTAGGCTGTAGAGCCGCTGCCCCTCATAGCACACTGTATGGCGTATGCCTGTCTTCATTAGCCCAGTTTAGGAGCAGAACAGTAGGACGTTAAACCCCATTTCATTTCATTTCATTAATGTATATGGAAGAAAACTATTTTTGTATTGTAAATTTCGAACATGTTTTGCCGAGTTATCTTTCCAGACATATTTTGACTTTTTTAAACATGTGAATGCATTACAGGATAAATTCCTTCATTTAATCCTTTCATAAAATTCCCAAAAGGTGACAAAAAACATTTTACTGCAAAGGATAGAAAGGGCGGAAGAGTCCCTCTAACAGTGCAGGTGAGTTTGGATCTCAGTGATATGGCTGAGGAAGAACAGGAACCAATCCTTTAATACTTGGTAGAATTATTGGGGCACCTCCCCCTTTATGTTCAAATTTATTAATTCTTGTGAACACAATACAGGACCGAGTTTGTGATACTATAGAATATTTTAAGGATGATCTGTATCAAATTTCAAAATATTTGGATCGTAAATATGAAATGTGTTTTGCAGATGTGATTGCTTCTCACAACAGACTCCAAAACTTGCTCAGTCGGATTTGTTGATATTAGATATTAGAGCTAGCTCAGACAACTTTGCTTCTAATGAACTTGTAAGGCAAATGATTTTTTTTTTGTATGCTAAGAAGTGGGAACTATATTTACTAAGTTAACTCTTATTGAATATGGTTATTATTTGTACATTGTATATCAGATTAATAAATTGTATATTTACAGATAATACTACCAGCAGAAACAAAAGTAGAAGGTCAACCAGAGAGACCAGAATATCTTCAGATTGTAGTGTCTAGACTTTGTGCTACCAATGTAAGGATAGAGGAAAAAACATCTAGAGCAGATTTACAAAACCTGATAGACAAATATGAGACAGGAAACTTGTTTTACGCGGACTCATTTCCCAATGAGAACAAAACATTTCAAATCATTCCGGAACCATTACGAAATCATGCGAGCAACATTGACAATCCTTATATTAAAAGTTCTGTAAAGAAAATATTACAAACTGTGTCTGCAGAAGGAAATCCAAAGGTCCAGTGTAATCTACATTCTAATACTCTTAAGAAAAAAGCCAACTGTGATATTTGGTGTGTGACAATGGATTTGGTTTGGTTAGAATTCCTTGGTGTAAATAATTATAAATCTAGACCGGTGCCATTCGTGGAAGGATTTCCTCTGACACTATGGTTAAGTGGTAAACCAGCTAAGAAAAAAGTCCCAGACAGTTCACAAGATAGAGCTAGTCGTTCATCTGTTCGAAAGTTAAAACAGTATTACAGTTCCGAAGAAAGTGAGACTGGTACTAACGGTGATAGGAATCAACTTGCTGATAATCATGTGATAGCAGACATTGGTGCCAAAATAAACCTACAGATTAATCATTACCAATATTTGTTCCTCATGCGACTTAACGAATCCATGACGAGATTTCAGTCTCAGTTAACCAGTGACCTCTTATTGTTTATGGATGCCGGACCTTCTTCATTCTGTATTCCGTTATTAATTCCTGCCTTGGAAGTAGCTGTTATCTGTCCTTTTTTATCTCACCTTCAAACATTTCCCGATGATTTTGGCAGTCCAGTTCATACTTTCTGTAAAGATGCCAATATCTATAGTCCAGAACATCGTAAAATTAAAGCTATGGGACATAAAAAACAGGCATCTAATTCAGCACCCAATAGAATATCTATAAACACAAATGGTAATGTTTTTAGTGTGACAAATAGTTTAAAAATATTTTAAAAGCTATAATTTAATGTGAAATTTTATAAGCTGATTTATTAAATAATATCACATTTAGCTTCAACCTGTTGGAATAAATTTTTTAAGAGTTTTAAGACCACACACAATCCTTTTTTTTTAAAAATCATTTTGATCCAAATATTATTCACATCAAACAATCCTAACTAAAATGATGACTATTTAAAGTTCATATTGGCTTCTACTGATTTCACACTGTCATCTTTATGTGTCATAGAAAAACAAATAAGTATTAATAATAATTATTAACTGTTTTCTACAAGACTGCCCAATTTTTCAGGGTTGTTTATACTCGGAATAGACCTGAATTAAAACAGTACATATCTATTCTTTTTATATACAGTATGTGTGTACAATTTAATATTGCACACAATCACTAAGGTTTCTCATTTACAATATTTTATTTGATAAACTAATTTATATTTTACAGATTCTACTTCATCTTTAGAAGATAATCCTAATATCATGATAACTAAGTCCATGAGTGATTCAACAATACATGCCATGCCCACAGATACATGTGAGTTCAATGCTGAAATTATTGCTGTAGCAGAAGACATTTGTAAGATAAATGGAAATGATGCAAATTTTAATTCATTACAAAGAAAATCATCTTCTACTAATGCCATACCATCAGAAATTCATAATCAGGAACTACACACAACTAGTTCCCTGGGAGGAGATTCCGGAATTTTTATGGAAAGTCGTGGAAACTTCGCCAGATATATGAAACCTATGAATTCCATGTTCAGTAACATTTCCGACAAAATTACTGGAAATAAATTAACTGGTTCTAATAATGATTTACTATCAGTGATAGATGATGATAATATGTCTACTTTTACTGACCAATCAGATGAAGATTATGTTGATTTATCGTTGGAAGAAAGCGAAGGTCCAGTATTTAGTAACGATAATCCCTATGAGACAGCTTCCGTTACGGATACATATAGCGATGATTGTTCCAGTGTTTATGCTGATAGTATAACTACCAAAACAAAAGAAATGGTGAGACAGTTCTTTCATATTGTCCTGTGTCTGTCATAGAAAGCAGGGGACTATTAAAATGTTTTTTTCTGTCCTTCTACTTGTCACAGTTTTTGGAACACAATAACTCTGCTTCTAATTTAGGTAGATGTTTATTAGGTGAATGTTTTGACTGAGTTGGATGATGAACATTTGCCACCAAAGCCAAGCAGAAATAAGCAATTTGATTTGATGAGACTTTGATACATGATGGCTCTGCTTCTAATTGAGGGGGAGTGATCGAAATTGGTCTGTAGTTTCTTTGCATCTTTACCTTGATGAAGTTTGATAATGAGCATTTTTTGCTTGGGTTAAACAGAGTGATAAACAATTTGATTGTTTGATACTTTATTCTCGACAGGAAACCTCTCTGATCAATCATCACATACTCTGTAGGCGTACTGTACCTTGTAGGTTATAAAATATAATGATGTATTATTTCAGGTCTCTGTTGTGGTACTTAAATTAGATAAACCAGAAGTGTTACTCTATGGTAGTGATGGTATCGCTAACACAGCTCTTCAAATAGCTTCCTTATCAACAAGTTGTCCCGGTAACATGAGTCTTGAAGAAGTTCATAGCAAATTATCTGGAAAAGGTATAATGATAACATAGATCTATTATTATGTGATCTATTTATTAAATATAGTTGTCTTTATGTCAGTCTGCTAGACTATGTTAGCTCATAATTGGTAAGAATGTTGTGAGCACGACATATATATACTCAACCTACTCCTCTATATTGTTGGTTAATTTTATACTACGGACAGAAGTCAAACTGACTTGCTAGTTCCATTGCAAATCATTGCTAAGTGGGTTAGTATTTTTTCACTAGCTTGAAATAAAAGGTCACCTCAGTATGGACAGTCCTGCTGATATTTGATTTATGCTGCTTATGGGTAAGTCCAGTTGCAGTCTGTGAAGAAACTGATTTTAAAACATTTTTCTTTCTCAAGGATTTTTTACTGATGAAAAGGACAGTAAGAACACAGAACCATCTCCTGCACATTTTCCAATAAAAATGACGTTGATTGCTGAATCTCCTTCACCTCATAACAGCACTTCATCAAGTCCTGAACACAAACATAGTGAACGGAAAACTAAGAAAGATTGTATGGTGATAAAAGCCAGTAATATTCCTATACAGTTAAAGATGTCTGCTATAACGTCTCTAACGGAATTTATAGAAGAAGAAAAGTTACCTGAAATCATTCCAATGGATGTTATTTTATCCGATCTCATGTTAATTCTATCTGTAAGTTCATATTTTTCTTGTTTTAAAACTGTCTCTAAACGTTTCAGCTAACACAAATAAAAATGAGATAGATCTAGCACCACTTCAGGTAAAAGAATGAACGAGTAGGCATGCAGACCTGCATTGTACATTTTTCACAACATGAAGCTGCAAAATTAAACTTTGGACTCTAAAGTTTAAAGTTTATGGAGGCAACAATGTCCACTCAAAATTTAAAATACATAGAAACTAAGTATTTGTTTTTCATTGTAGGAAGATCGTCCATCTGTAAACATAGGTTCATTTACACCACCACCTCAAAATATTCACATAAATCAACTTCATATAGAGAGAGGGTTTGATGGTATATTCAATATAAAAGGTAAGACATTTAAATCTTCTGCAAGGTCTTTTCAAATGTTATTTACATAACCAACTGTCTTTTTGTACTGCAAGGAACAGTGTCTATTTTTATATGCCCACATTTTCATGTGAACGTATTATGCCGTCGCCCCTGTCTGTCCGTCCACAATTTGTTTGTGGACACTCTACAGGTCATAATTTTTATCCGATTTAAAAAACTGTATTATTATATCACCGTTACACCCTAAGGACGAATGAGTTCGAATTTCGTGAAAATCGCATCAAAATTGACAGATAATATGGCCGCCATTTGTTCTCAAATAGCGTAAAAATATGGTATGTCGAGGTTCTGGACCCTATAGAGGTCACAATTTTTATCCGATTTTGTTGAAACTTGAAATGTAAGTTTATAACCCAAAGATCTCGGTTCCTTTCGATATTCAAGCATATCGGACCGTAACTTCCTGAATTATGGCCCCTGTTTGTATGAAAAATCGCGTTTTTAGCTTGTGGTTCCTATAGAGGTCATAATTTTTATCTGATTTAAAAAAACGTATTATTATATCACCGTTACACCCTTAGGACGACTGAGTTCAAATTGCGTGAAAATCGGCCCAAAATTGACAGACAAAATGGCCGACGTTCGTTCTCAAATAGCGTAAAAATATGGTATATCAAGGTTGTGGACCCTATAGAGGTCACAATTTTTATCTGATTTTGTTGAAACTTGAAATGTAAGTTTATAACCCAAAGATCTCGGTTACTTTCGATATTCGCGCATATCGGATTGTAACTTCCTAAATTATGGCCCCTGATTGTACGAAAAATGACGTTTTTAGCTTATGGACCCAATAGAGGTCATAATTTTTATCCAATTTAGAAAATCGTATTATTATATCACCGTTACACCCTAAGGACGTCTGAGTTCGAATTTCGTGAAAATCGGCCCAAAAACTGACAGACAAAATGGCCGCCCTTCGTTCTCAAATAGCGTAAAATATGGTATATCAAGGTTGTGGACCCTATAGAGGTCACAATTTTAATCCGATTTTGTTGAAACTTGCAATGTAAGTTTATAACCCAAAGATCTCGGTTCCTTTCGATATTTGCGCATATTGAATTGTAATTTCCTGAATTATGGCCCTTGATTGTAGGAAAAATTGCATTTTTAGCTTGTGGACCCTATAAATAGAGGTCATAATTTTTATCTGATTTAAAAAAAACTTTTTAGTATATCACCGTTACACCCTAAGGACAGCCGAGTTTGAATTTTGTGAAAATCGTCCCAAAATTCACAGACAAAATGGCCACCCCTCGTTCTCAAATAGCGAAAAAATATGGTATATCAAGGTTGTGGACCCTATAGAGGTCACAATTTTTCTTGAAACTTGAAATGTAAGTTTATAACCCAAAGATCTTGGTTCCTTTCGATATTTGCGCATATTGAATTGTAATTTCCTGAATTATGGCCCTTGATTGTAGGAAAAATTGCATTTTTAGCTTGTGGACCCTATAAATAGAGGTCATAATTTTTATCTGATTTAAAAAAAACTTTTTAGTATATCACCGTTACACCCTAAGGACAGCCGAGTTTGAATTTTGTGAAAATCGTCCCAAAATTCACAGACAAAATGGCCACCCCTCGTTCTCAAATAGCGAAAAAATATGGTATATCAAGGTTGTGGACCCTATAGAGGTCACAATTTTTCTTGAAACTTGAAATGTAAGTTTATAACCCAAAGATCTTGGTTCCTTTCGATATTTGCGCATATTGAATTGTAATTTCCTGAATTATGGCCCTTGATTGTAGGAAAAATTGCATTTTTAGCTTGTGGACCCTATAAATAGAGGTCATAATTTTTATCTGATTTAAAAAAAACTTTTTAGTATATCACCGTTACACCCTAAGGACAGCCGAGTTTGAATTTTGTGAAAATCGTCCCAAAATTCACAGACAAAATGGCCACCCCTCGTTCTCAAATAGCGAAAAAATATGGTATATTGTAATTTCCTCAATTATGGCCCTTGATTGTAGGAAAAATCCCTTTCTTTTTAGCTTGTTCTCTATCCATCTCTCGAAAATGTGGGCGTATCCTGCCTGGTAGCCGCTGGTTTTGAATGGGAAACTGAGGTCCAATATACACATTAGCGTGCATGTAAAAGAACACATGACAATTGGAATTTGAAATGAGAGTAGGCCGTAGCGCTGCTGTCTGGGCAAAATTTACCTTATAGTACACTATATACTGTATGTCCATCTTAGAAGCCTGGATGGAACAAAAAAGTAAGACCTTAAACACCAGTTCATTTCTTTGTAGGCTATTGAACCCCATTTCATTTTATTTCTCAGTGGACTGGAAAATTATAATAAACATAGAAGAATTGCTTTTCATCATCCAATACTCTAGATTTTCAACAGATTTAAATACTATTTGCGGTTAATGATTTAACGTAGAAATGGATAATCGAGACTTTGTTTATTATCGTAACAATGGTAGCAATGACAATTGAGGCAATACTTTTCTTGTAACAGCGATCATTCGGCTCAGATGGGACAGAGTGAAGTAATTTGACTAAAATTTTCAACATATTCCCTTTTTATACACCCACATTTTCATATCACCGTTACACCCTAATGATGGTCGAGTTCAAATTTCGTGAAAATCGGACCAAAACTGACAGACAAAATGGCCGCCCCTTGTACGCAAATAGTGTAAAATATGGTATATCAAGGTTGTGGACCCCTCTAGAGGTCACAATTTTCATCCGATTTTGATGAAACTTGGAAGGCATGTTTATTTCCCAAAGATCTTGGTTCCTTTTTAAATTCGCGTTATCGGATCATAACTTCCTGAATTATGGCCCCTGATTGTACGAAAAATTGCGCTTTTAACTTGTTATCCCTCTAGAGGTCACAATTTTTATCCGATTTGAGCTTGTGGTCCCTATAGAGGTCACAATTTTTATCTGATTTTAAAAAAAAAAGAACATGTGAATATATCAGTTATACACTAATGATGGTTGAGTTCGAATTTTGTGAAAATCGGACAAAAATTGTACGCAAATAGTGGAGAAAATCTGGTATATCAAGGTTGTGGGCCCTCTAGAGGCCGCAGTTTTTATCCGATTTGGATGAAACTTTAAATATATATGTTTTTATCATAAAGATCTTGGTTCCTGTTGATAATCACACATATCAGAATGTAACTTCCTGGATTATGGCCCCTGATTGGTTGAAAAATCGCATTCTCTAGAGGTCACAATTTTTTTTCAGATTTTAAAAACCGTTTAGATATATCACCATTCCACCATAATGAAGGTTGAATTGGAATTTTGAGAAAATTGAAATGAAACTGCCCGACAAAATGGCAAATTGTGTATAATTATGTAATACAAAGGTTATGGACCCTCTAGAGGTCACAATTTTTATCCAATTTTGATGATACTTAAAACATATCTTTATATTCCAAAAATCTCAGTCCCTTTTGATATTTGCACATTTAAGACCATAACCTAGTTGATTATGGCGCCTGATTGTACAAAAAATCCTTTTTGTTTTTAGCTTGTTCTCTTATCCATCTCTTGCAAAATGTAGGTGTATCCTGCCTGGCAGCCGCTGGTTAACTATTATAACAAGAACTGTCTGCTCTTTATCTAATCTTATACAATTCCCTTATTATTTGTATATTTTCAGCTCTATCTGCTGAACCTGTGCTGAATGGAACAAATATAAACAATGATTTATCTGGTGTTAATCCATCTAGTGATTCTCAGTCTGCTCTTCATTCATCTTTCTTATTGATACAAGCTGAAAATATCAACCTTAACCAAAAACTATCAGAAATGACTAAACTAAAGAAAGACAAAGAAGTCTTACAAACACAGCTATCATTAACATCTGGTGAGTTGGAAAAATTACGCAATGAAAACATCGCTCTTGTTGATCGCATTCAACTCATCACCAGGGCCAACGATCCGCAATCAGATGGAAATTTGGAAACACAGAATTTACATCTGCAAAGTAAAATTCTCCATCTTGAAGAGGAGTTAGATATGGCAAATAAAGAAAAGGATTCTCTGTTGGACACTATGAAGTTACTACAAGATGAACTTTTATCTTCAGAAAAAAGGTATCGACAGAGACACACTGATTAAAATGAATGATTTTAATCAAAACAATATGTATTCAATATTTTTAAAACCATGTATATAATGTATGTACAAATAACAATGTATATCTGTTAAAAGTGCTGAATGTTAGTAAAAGTGCTGAAAATAACCATATTAATTAAACTGAAAATGTTGGGGTGTCTGTATGGGTTCCTCTATGAATCTAAATAGGGCAAACTTTGACTTATTGGTTGAAGCTGTTATCATTTGGGAGGTTACCAAAGATAGATGTAATTTTTAGCCTTCAAACACAAAGTATAAAGTTTTGATATTTAGTTTATTTGCAATATTCTGGAAGCACTATCTTATGGCCATATAAAAAAAAAATATTTTGGTTCTCAAAAAATAAAAACAGTCTCATTGACGTTAATTACCGCACATGTAAATGCGTTACAGGAAGTGACTCCCAGAAATGTGGTGTAGGATCAGTTATCAAGTACGCAGTCCTAAAAATATTGACAATCATAAATAATAATAATAAATTGTCTTATATAAGGCTAAATTATGTTCACTGGTCATTTCTAAGCATTTAAGTTTAACTATTGTTCTATTACAAATATTTGGTAAACAGATGTGTTTTAGTGTTGACTTAAAACTTGAAAATAGAGGTGTCATGCGGATCTGCCGAGGAAGCTCATTCCATAATTATGCACCATGAACTTGTAAAGAGTATTTTCCGTACAATTTATAATAGTTTGGAACCGAAGATTGCAAGTTTCGTCACAAAGGAGGAATAATTGAAAAACGCATATACTGTGGTGCAGTGTCAGAAAACATGGCTTTATAGTATAGATGTATTGTCAGAATTTTATAGTCATTTCTAGCTTCAACAGGCAACCAATGGATTTGCACAAGTTTATTGGTGATGTGATCCGATTTTTAAGATCGAGTAACTAAACGAGCTTTATTATTTTGAGAAACTTAAGAGACGTTTTAAAAATATTTTGGATCTCCTGCTAGCAATCAATTTGCATAATCCAGTTGAGATAACACTAGGAAGGACACTTTTTTACGCAAATGTTGTCCCTCAAAATATACTGGATATTAATTGGTTAATATTGGTACATTTCTATAATCAACATGATGAAATAGATGTAGTGCCATGAAATGTGATTATGCAAAGTCATTTAGCCCCAGTAGTGATCCTTTGACAAAATAAAAACCTCCCTCCCACATTCGATTTTTTGTAAGGATTGTCTGAGAAACAGAATATATTTTTTTGTATGGCCTAGTGAATTTCTGTTCTAAATTCTGACAAATTATGGTGACATTTAAATTTCTAATTATAGCTTTATTCCATGAAAAGTTAACTATTTTTTTAAACCCATCAAATATAATTAATACTGTCAAATATGCTGATCCCTTGGTGCATTATTGTTACACATTTAATATCAACATTTTTATGTATTTTATTGTCTTGCTATAGCAACAAACTTATGGTCAACCCCAAGGGCCAAGTTTCTGGTTAAGGTTTTTTTAAAACTTCAATAACTTTAGAGTTTATAGAACTTTGTGAAACTTGGACAGACTACAATATGGTCTAAAATGTATGCCTAACAGTATACTGTATGTCCAAATGGTATACCAAAATCCATAAAATTCTATTTCGGAGGATATTTGGAATTTCTTAAGTTTATTAAGATTTTTAAAAATTCAGTGACATCATCAAATTTCCATAGAACCTCACGAAACTGGTACAGAGACAGCAATATGGTCCAGTCTGTATGTGGATAGTGAGTCCATAACAAAATGGAAAGTTCCTGGTTTTATAAAAGATTTAGAGGTATCTTCAAGAATTCAATTTTCAACAGTTTAGCCCTATTGGAAATTGGCCTAGTAGAGGCAAGACACTAGGTTACTCAGCAATTATTGAAACATTTAAAGATACATTATGGAAGATAAGATAAAGAGCTGGCAGTTCTCCCTATAATAGTTAAAAACTGGATAATGTAAAGGCAATTTGCTGAAAATTTCAAATTGATTCACTATGAACCGAGAATTAAGCGATTGAAATTTCGGCCTAGCCTAGATCATCATTACTAAAGTCTGTACTATAAAAAACAGTCTCGATCATCCATTTCATGATTAAATTATGAATGGAAGTCGAGCAGCAAATGGGGTCATAATCCAGTAAATCCAGAGAGTTGATTATGGTCTGGATAAGTTAATTAATGTCTAATTAATAATTTAGATAACATTTCAGGCCTAAAGAAAGACCTGCTATTGGCAGATTTAGCTCTTGCATAATGAATGTTTAACTGTGATGTAAACATTACAAACATATATAATCATGACAAACTATGGTTAAAAATAGTCAAGCCATAGATAATGGCTTATCTTACAATAAGTTACCTTATTGTATGATTTATTTATAAACCCACTAATTTATACTGACATTAAATCAAACTGAGTTTACATAACTTCGCTACAATTCCTACATGGAAACCCCTTTTGTTACCGATAATATAAATGTAATTTATTGTGATTTGAATTATAAACTGAACCAAAACCTGTAAATTATATATACATACAGTACAGTATTTTGTATAAAATAATTAGGGTGATGCCAAAAGTAGTGATGCTACCAGATAGATTTTTTCTTATTACAAACCATAAGGTATCAATAAAATTGTAGTTGAATATTGTGTTTAATTGATAATAGTTTATTTTATAATTAGACATTTTACTGAAACACCAATTTGTTTTTGTTGCATAGTTTACTAACTCGGCTAAAATATGTAATATTTAGTACACTGTAGTATGATATTTTGTCAAGATTATTATGCCATACATCTTCAAAAATGCTGTTTGCTTTCATTTTCTGTTCAAATAAAGATTAAGATATTGTTGTATTTTGTGATATAAGATATGGTATTAATGTTTTAGATACTTTATCAGGGTTTTTTTTTTATTTGTGGTGTTTTTGGATAGTTATAATTTTTGTTTGTTTATAATTTACCTTATTATTTAGCAAGCTTATATGTATCATATTATAAAAATAGATCTCATTTTCATTTTTCACTATGTAATTCAAATTATTTTTTGTTGGAAATATGCGAAAGGTAGTTTTGAAAGAATGTAACTCTCTAGCATACCTGATATTTTAGGGTCCGTGCATTGAAGTAGCACTCAATTAAAAAACTGAATTACTACCTAAATTTAAAATTTTAAAGTGGTGTCGCGTCCATTTTGGGTTGTCTTCAGTTGCTGCCCTCTAATATCCCCTGGGTTTAGAAGCCATCAAGACTGCATAAATTTTCTTCATCTTTCCTTTCTGCTTGGCCCACTTGGTTATGTTCAATATACATGTATTTGGAGTCGTGAACACACTGCACATTTGTTTTTGGTTTGCTTCAGACAGGAAATACTATAGGAAATTATTATGAAACTGTTTACATTGTGTTTAGTCATAAAGTAATAGATATGAAGCTGAGCAAGCCAAAAGACCAGATGATTGTTCTTAATACATTTTAAATATTAGAACAAAACAAAACCTGTTTATCTATTGTTTGTGTATGTATCATTTTAAATATAATGAAATGATCATAGTATAAGAAATGTTCAGATTATGTTTATAAATTGTATATAATTATTTATATAATATATAGGTTGAAGATAATAAAATAATTGTAAATAGAAGCAAATAATCATCAATAAAAATGGGACATTAGCCTAAAAGTCCTAAAAAAAAAAAAATTATTCTCACAATATTGTATGACATTAATTTCTTTTGCATGTTTATTAGGTATGTGGTAAGAAGTCCTTAAAACAGATCTATATAAATTTAATTCTTCCAACTTAAACTTAATAACCTGTAGATTGGCTAATGTATGAAAAATGACCATGAATCAAAGCATATTCCTGTCGGAATATTGCAAAAAAAAAAACCCAACAAAAACCAACAATTAATGAAATAGCAATCCTAGTTTTTTGAGGTAATTTGATTTTCTACAATAAGATTGTCTGCTGAAATCTGATTTCTGCACTTCTATCAAATCTAAGCTACAGCACACAAAAGGAATGAATTCATACACAATTTGAGACTTCAAGATAGCGTCTTGTATGTACATGTATAATGGCGGAGAATCTAATAATTAAATTGTTTCTATCTTTTTTTTTATACATTTATTTTATTTTTAATATTTATCCTTTTTGTGCCAATGCCTGTACACATTTATATTGTACATTTAACCAGTGCTTCATTGTGATTATACATATAAATTAAATTTATTGTCCCCCGGCTTTCGAAGAAAGCAGGGGACTATTAAAATGGGTTTGTCTGTCTGTCACACTTTTTTGGACACAATAACTCTCCTTCTAATTGAGCTAGAATGTTCACACTTAGCGTAGGTGTTTATTAGGTGAATGCCTTGATGGAGTTGAAGATGAGAATTTTCTGCTTAGGATAAGCAGTTTGATTGGTTGATGTTTTTGGACACGATAACTTTAGTTCTAATTCAGTAAGAGGGAGGACACTTGGTGTATAGTTTTATCACATCAATACCTTGACTAAGTTCGATAATGAGCATTTTCTGTTCAGGGTAAGCAAAGCGATAAGCAATTTCATTCGTCAAGACTTTGGAACATAATAACTCTCCTAATTGAGGTAGAATGTTCAAACTTGGTGTAGGCACCTTGATGGAGTTCGATGATAAACATTGTCTGCTTACTGTAAGCGGAGATAAGCAATCTGATTGATTGATGTTTTGGGCCACGATAACTTTGGTTATAATTGAGTGAGAGTGATGAAACTCCGAGTATAGATTCATTATATCATTACCCGAAAACGTAACTAAAGTATGAAAATTAAATGGTAGCTAGGGTGGGTTTGTCGTTCAGATTGATCATTACCTTGACTAACATTTCGAGCTAAAGCCGAGCTAAGCAATTTCATTGGTCGATGCTTTGGGACAAGATAACTTTGATTCTATCTGATAGAGAGTGATGAAACTTAGTGTATAGTTAATAGTCAGTTTGATTGCTTGATACTTTTAAAAAAAATAAATGTGCCATTACCGTAATTAATATGTGTCATCTAATTATTTTGGGATTTCGGTGGGGGACATCAGCCTGTTTCATTTAAGATTATCATTTTACTTTAAATATCTGTGAAACCGGTAACTAATTACTTCTTTTTGGTCAAGTAGGATATCAAGTATGAATTAGTTACATACTCTAATGTGAAACTTATGTTATTGTTTAAAGACAAAAGTTTTTTCTTTTACTGTTGTTACAACCATTCTTTTTATTCCAGTAACCCCCAAAAAAGGTGGCCTACTTATTGTGTAGGGTTATGTACCATAATGAAACATATTTATTGTTCTCCCACTTCTAATCGGGTTAGAATATTCAAACTTCCTGTAGTTGTTCATTAGGTGAATGCTTTGATGAGTATTCTGTTTAAAATCAAAGTATTTGATAGCTAGATGCTTTATAAAATGAAAAACATAAATATTTGTCTTTTAGTTAATTTTTAGAATCGGTTAAATTACAGGTCATATGTAGTTCAGTGCAGGGTTCAACTGTTTATTGTATTTGATAACATGTATCATTTTGTACTTAAAGTCTCATTGCTGAATTTGAAATGTTTGACTATTTATTTCAGGCCAGATTTTAGCTCCACTGGTTTGATATTTTACTCAACATCTTAAAAGTTTTATGAATGTGCTTATAACAACTGTTCATTTTGTGAACCACTTTCCGGCGTGGTTCTCCCTTGTCAGTGATGCAGGACGGAGGGGCTGACAAGGAAAGCTGTCTAGTCGTTCGGATGGGACGAAAAACAGAGGTCCCGTGTACACATTGGCGTGCACGTAAAAGATCCCTTGGCAGTTGGAATTCGATATAAGAGTAGGCCGTAGTGCCGCTGTCCGGGCAAAATTTCCCGCATAGCACACTGTATGGCATATGCCCGTCTTCATTAGCCCAGGTTAGGAGCAGAACAGTAGGACGTTAAACCCCATTTCATTTTTGTGAACCACTATAGGCATGTGCAGCCATAAGAAGAGTGGCTGCTCTGGGTATCTTATATTGGAACCATGAAATAATGATTTAATTGGATTTCAGACCCTACAATGAAACCAAGTACATCTCCTTACTGTTCAAATTTTGATTCATAATATTACCTCCTTCAAAAGTTATGGCAAATTGCATGTATTATGCACACATGTAGTATCAGACAATATGCAATCATCTACACCATCATTTGCTTACAACGGCATTAGGCCAATAACCATTTAATTTTCAATATTTCTGTGAACAATTTTTATGTTTTACTTATTTGGGTTGTAGAATATTTATTCAAACTCTCTGGAATAAAATGCTCATATTTGTGTGTTGTGTTTTCTCATCTGTATCATCCCATCCAAGTTTGGTCTTCAAATCCAACATTTTTCTTTCAAGCATTTCCATCAACGATACATACATAAAATGTATAAATACGCAGAATTTGGTAATTAATAAAAGCCCCAATTCTTTCATTTTATGATATATAAAATGTGTCATGGAGGCAATTCATGGATATTTATATACCCATGACCACTCCAAAATATGTTTTCATTACATAGGTGACTTAAAAGTATTGGAGAGAGAGAAATGGGATTCAACTGTCCACTCAACACAAACTAGATCATTTCGGACAAACACATGGGTCCATTTTAGTCCCATAATGAAATTGCTTGCAGGGGTCTTTAGCGGTGAGAGGAAACCAGAGGTCCCAGAAAAAACCCCACAATGTTGGACAGATGACCCTACTCCTTGTCACGTACAAGCAGGAATCAGAACGTCAGTTGACTCAATGACAGACCTTCTGATACAATGCACATGCGTTAACCATTCGGCCATTTTGTATTTAGTTCTTCATCCTTGAAGAAGTGAGTATTTTAATCAAAAAATGTTGGATAAAATGGGGGTTTATTTTGGTATAGTATTCTATTAATTATTACATATCAACTTATCTGAATATCAAATGCATCAGTCTGACTTAGTCAATGTATCAGTCTGACTTAGTCAAAATTGATTGGATCAAACTGTCTGTAAGTGGTTTGTGTTACCTGTTTCTATTGACTGGAAATTTCTCACGTTTTCATCTGGGCATATAAAAACGAATACAGCTCCTCAATATATATATTTAAACACTACATACTGTACACAATATTTCTTTAATATTAGCATGATTGTTACAATTGATAAAAGCAGCTATCTTTAAACACTTTCTACATTAAAGTCTTAAAGAATAGTTAATGGGGGATGCATGTCTTTGATGAATGTGTCAAGGGCCGGGAATATAAAAACAGGTCGAAAATATCACAAAGATTTACTTCGACTTCGGGATCGACTGGGAGCACGATTTGGAGAAGATTCATGTGAGTTGCCATTTTCAGGCTCTTCATTATCTTTATTGCCATTGACATCACCATCAACTTCAGCACTTTTTGATCTAGAACGAGATCTAGAGTGTGACCTTGATCTAGTAGGACTCCTACTCTTAGAACGAGATGGACTCTTGGATCTGCTTTTAGATCTACTTCTTGACTTTACAACTGATTTGGACCTGCTCCTGGAACGAGTGGTTTTGTTTCTTTTGGTACTACCACTACGACTACGTGTCCGTCTACGTTTACTAGATCTGTCTTGGCTTCTACTTCTACTACTTCTTCTTCGTCTACTTCTTGATCTACTTCTAGAATGTCTTCGTGAGCGTGATCTGGATCTCGATCTGTAAATGAAATTATGTTAACATCAGCAATACATCATTTATTTCGTCAATTCCAAATAAATTACCAGCTTATTGCTGCTAATGTTGAAAAGATGAGCATAATTGAAAGGTGACATTTAATCATGTATAACTCCTCATGCATGGCCACAGGCCCACAACACAACTTTGGTGTGATGTGTATATTTTCAACATATTCTAAATAAGATAAGTGAGACCAACCTTCTTCGTCTACGTGGAGAGGGTGACCTGTATCTACCACCTCTACGATTACCACGATATCCTCCTCCACTACCACCACCACCACCTCCTCCTCCTCCGTCATGACGACAATCTCTCGCCCAATGACCAGGTCTGTGACATTTATAACATTCGTCATTGCCTTGTGAATACTGAAAATTATAAAATATCAAACTGTAATATAAAGTGGACTCTGTCAATTCCGACATCGCACGGGATCGATACAACATGCCGGTTTACACAGCATGTCAGAATACCCAATTGCCTCAATACCGGAAGTATTATTGTACCTCTGTCCACACCCTTAAAGGAGAATGCTGTGGAAAAAGTTTGATTTTATCATTTAGTCCATTGTGTAACGCATTTCAGAATCTTTTTTTTTTTTTTTAAAGTTTTAGTAACAAATAACGTTAAAAAACACTTTCGGATTTCTGCAATTACAGAAACACCTGACAATTAATGAGCTGAAGCTAAATCATGTGACATGACATAAAGAGTCGACACTCCTACAGCAGTCGATGTATATTTCAATATGGCATCGGCAGAAAGTGACAGCTTGTCAGACATTGAATTCGCCCCGAATGTTCTTCCCTATCAATCCGAGCCAATTAGAAATGCGAGGAGCAACGGTGACGATGATGATTCGGAACATTCTACCATTTCTAGCAGCGCAGAAAGATAAATAGGCACTAAACACAGTGTACACACCTTGCCTTATCACCAGTCCTTCAATTCTCGATAACTTTTCGCTTCATTAGGCCCAATTGATATTCACGCTTCATCGACAAAAATATATATCAGAGAAAAACTATGAATTACGGTATTATATGCCCTAGACTAGCTACGAAAAACTATGAATTACGGTATTATATGCCCTAGACTAGCTACGAGAACGTAGCTAAAAACGGGTCACATTACAGGAGTATCATCGGATTCTGAGTACAGTTGGGCCTATCCGAGCCTATTGGCATAGTATCGGCAGTATCGATGAAAAAAATTTCTATCACATTCATTTACCTAGTTAAATCTGACAAACTTCTTACATCTAGGACTATCTATGGTCGACTGCAAAATCATCGACATAGGCCTACGCCCACTACTGATGCAGAAGACGCTATTAATTTACATTAGTATTTAGGCTAGGCCTACGCTATGTTTTTTTAAATTTTGATGCTATGGTTACATCAGTCATTTCTATTGCTAGATTTTGAAAGCGTGTCAGTTGCCATAGAATGCACAGTTTTAACATAGAAAGAAAACATAACTGTTATATCTTGATCGACATAATATTATTAAAATTGCACTGGTCACGTTCGTAAGCAGATAACTCGAAATTCTCCGAACACAAGAAAGAGAAGTGTGTTTTGACATCGCCTCGTTGACATTGCTGTGTCCAGACCTTTCTGCGTGTTGTCTCGCCTGGAAATTTTTTTAAAAAATGACATGTGCTTCCCGATTTATTGTTGCTGCTATTACTTTAGTATATCCCCAAGCAATGCAATTGACCATGTTTATTCTTCCAGTTAGTCAAAATGATGGCATGCAGTGCTCAGTTGCAATAAATAGCCTTCTATAGGGAAATTCATGTGTGTCATCTATGACGTCATTCACGGAAAAAATCAAAACGAGGCTGCAGATATGCATAAATATCAATTCGTTCTTTGGGGGTATATTTTTCCTTTGTAAAAATATTCAGAGTGACTTTTAAAATTTCGCAGGGCCAAAAATATTCTAATATTAACATTATTTTTCATATAAAAACAACTATTTGCGGTAGTATTCTCCTTTAAACCACTTGTGCCTCATTCTGTTGATGTAAAATCATTTCTTAAGGCTGTTAAAGTTATCGGCAAACGTCTGTTTGAATTAATCTTTTCGCTTTAAAATATCCGATACTGTAGTACGGCCAATTGAATACTTAACGGCTAATTCCTTCTGTGTAGGTCTCAAAATCTGCTATAATGCCAAACCTGTACGTGCATGCTTTGCAGGACAATCAAACATTATGAACTGACTTAAGAAACTCGAATCGAATACCAAGCGCTCTCTTACAAAAGATTATCAAAGTATCAACAGATAATTGATTGGTGATTGCTTGTTGGTTAACACCAACTGATTGAAGGTCTGATTATCCAATGTTAATTGAATGCAAATCATGTGACTGGAATGCTGACTGATGTCGTAATTCGGAATATTCAGAATCCGGACTACTCAAAACTTTTTGGGTTGAAGTAATAAGGAAATAAATCTGGACAGAATGCCCTAGTATTCAGGTCGGAAGTGACACGAGTCCACTGTACACCTGAATTTCTTGATTTTTTTTTTCATTTCTACATTTTAAAATAGGAAATAATCAGTAGTTATCAAATATTTCAACAAACAATATATTCATACCTTAGTATCTTCATCTTTCCACTGCAACGAAAAGCATTAAATAATTAAAAGTAATTGACAACAGATTTTTTGAGTTAGATCATTATAGGAAAGATAGGTTGTATAAATTTAAAATCAATCGGATATTAACATTAGCCTCTAGAGCGTCCACAAGCAATTGTGGACGCCGGACGGACGGGGGCGACACAAATATACAACCACATTTCAATGTGGTCGTATAAAAATGAGAATCTGTTATCTTTGTACTGTCTTCTTTTTTGCCCCAAAAATTTAATTCCAATTTTAGTCAACCCATTCAAAATTACTGCACATTCTTTAATTATCTTGAAGATTATATGAGCAAGCTATAAAACGCACAAACGTACCAAAGGTCTCCTTGGTGTTCCCTTTGCAAACTCTGCTATTATACTAGAACCACAAACTTCTCTACCATTTTCATATTTCACAGCATCCTACAATAATTACAATTAATAAAGATATTGTATCAAATTTCTATAAACAAATTCATTTTGAAATTTCAACACCCAGAAAATCTACTACATGTATATGACATTTGCTTATTCCATAACCAATTAATTAATAAGTTAAACATGGTATTTATGATCAAATAACATCAAGTAAAAGCTGCATAAGACATACTTTGGAAAAGTAAAGATATATATTTTCATAAAATTTTCTTTAAAAAAAAAAATTGAAGATAGAATAAAATAATTTGAAAAGAACAAATTTTTGAACGGTTGACAAACCTTTTGTTTTAATTTTTATTCGTTTGATCTAAGCAGAAACATACTCTAGGTATTGGAACAAGTGTTGACTGGCACCAATGAGTGAAATGGCTAGTCGCTTTGATATGGTAACTCATGCCCGGAATGGGCACCGTGGCTAGTCAACGTGGAATGGTAATGGAATGGTTGTCTATGGCATTGGGTACGGATTCAAGATGTCTGGGACTATGACCTTGGCCAGTGGAACATTGAACTATGGTCTGGCAAAGGAATGCACTTGGAGGCAGGCATGCTTTGGCCTGGTGTTACTGGGTTATTTTGGCAAACTTGGCTTAGGCAGCTACATATATATACATAGGCATTATTTTAGCATTTTTCATAAAAAAAAATAACATTCAAATACAAGTCAAAACAAAACAATTTTCTTTTACAAAATATACAAATATGTATTCTATTACTTAATAAAGCCAAGCAAAGATATAAATTTCTTTCAATTATATATACTAATTCTTTTGTTAACTTCATTTAAGCTTACAATATATTTAGATTTAAATTACATTTACATTTTTTTTTCTTTAGAAAAAATAAAAACTTTTTAAATACTTACAGCTGCATCACGTCTATCTTCAAAATCAACAAAAGCATATGCTGTAATGAAATGATAAATAATTTGTCTGGGCCAATTGGATTTTTCTTGTCAAAGATGAAACTTTTTTCAAAATTACTAATTCAGTGCATATAGCATTGGCATATACAGGTAGTTTTATTAACTTGATTCTTGTAGAGTATTCAAAAACATAAAAATTGAATCACAAACTCACACACATACAGCGGTCCCACGAAATATGTCCCTACCAGCATCATAGGATATTGGGTTACCATTAACTTTTTTTTTTATTATTCAAGTGTGGATTTATTACAAGATTTGTGTGACCTGGCAAATACTATGTATGTATTTGATATATCAAAATTTCAATAGCTTTCATCCTTATTACTACTGGTTGTTAACAATTTCAGGAAGTTAAAAAGATCTAAGAATATGTTGCCTGCAGTGCAATTATGATGGTTTCTTGATAGGGCAACAACCCCATTTAAATCTATGTCCAAATCTGAATTTCAATATGGTTCCTCCTTGTGGATAGCTGATCAATCCTGGCAATAATGAACTGTAACCTGTGCAGAGTTTACAAGAATTGTGGAAACAGGATGATAACACTAAGTAACAATATACTCTTGCCAAATATCAATGTATAAAAATCATTCGTTCATTTTATCATAACATTTTTGATTAAATTAATTTTCTTATGAAAGTAAGGTTAAAGCTTTATGAAGATAATGAAATTGTAAACTTCTTGCGATTTCACACAACCATTCATGCACTTGGAACATACCCATTTCAGCACCTGGAATTTAAAAAAAGAAAAAGATATTTATAACGACCTGGCTGCCAACATGTATTCATCCAGTATGAATAAATTAGGGTTGATGTTGACCAACAATGAGCTTTTGGAGGATGGGAATTTATCATTTATGATAAATATACCTTAGTTTATACAAAAGATGTATACCTATTCTTTGGAGTCTTAAAAATAGGCAAAAATGGGTATAAAGACAGATAGGCCTATATGAGTGCACATCATTAAGTGATTTACATTCAATAATTAAGAGTCAAAATTGAATGGAAGTCGTTTGTGTCTGCTTAGTCCATTCAAAATTTTTTTTTTTTTAATTATTTAGTAGTTTGTGAATTTGCCAGTTTTTAATTACGTCTACGACGATTACATGTCATTTGGGACTCGCGTCAATTGGGACTCAAAAAAATATGACCACGACATTTGGGACTCGGGTATACGACGTTTGGGACTTTGGTATACGTCGTTTGGGAATCGGGTATACAACGTTTGGGACTCGGGATAATTTATTAGAAATAGGCCAATTCAAAACACGAAAGAAAATATTTATTAACATGAAACATGTGGTTAGTAAAAGGCTCAACCAAACGATAAAACATTAGTTGCACTTACGGTTCTTTGATAATCATCGTTTTTCATAAAAGTTATATATTTATTTAAAACGAATAATATGCTGATGAATTTATTTGAAAATGACCTACACAAAAAACAAAATAAATATTTACACGACATGCAATCTTTTTTACAAGCCCCTAGAAATTGTTATCGATAATCCGTGAACTGCACGTTGACATGCTTGTCGTAGATGGCAATACCAATCGATAAATTAGTGCGTACAAGGGAAAGTTTTTTGTGGAAAATATAAGAAATGCCAATGATCAAAGCGGGATAATTAAAGCTGATTAACTGATAATCCCGATGTTATTGCAGTATGTTCAATGAAACCTAACGGTTCTTTGGTGGATGAGGAAAGACGTGAGTTGTCAATCATCGAGAATGGCGGCCGTGTGTTGATTGCAGTTATACCGTTTCACGAAAAAACATTAGCAGTGGTCGGTCTATCAAGCTCGTTTACTATTTGATAAAAGAAAAACAACGAAGTATTACTAAATATACACAAATTTTCAACAATATATTATTGTCAAGTTTTATACTCGCAGATAAAACAAAACAAAGGAGAAGTTTTATACTCGCAGATAAAACAAAACAAAGGAGAACTAGCAGTGTTAATCGCGGTCTCAACAATCGCCGATCAACTAAATAAAACGAAAGACAACTAAGACAGCTGTTACTATATATCTCATAAATAAATAGTCCCAACTGTCATTTATATTGAGTCCAAAATGTCGTTGGTGTTGAGTCTCAATTGACGCCTATCAAGTCCCAAACGTCGTCAAATGAGTCCCAAATGTCGTTTATGTTGAGTCCCAAATGACGTGAGTCCCAAATGACGTGATACCTCTACGACATTGTCTTCCGGGATATGCTGTTTCTTGTTCATTACAAAAGAAGCTCGAAACCATTATGTGCATTAACAAGAGTACACACAATCATGTACTGATTGTATAACGCTAATTGTGCCTTAAATATGGGATATTAGGAAATTGGTTTCATGGCAAGTCTGGAGTTAGATTACTAATTAGAATAACATTATCACATTGAATATTGATTAAATTAAATGGGCCAAATATTAAACTCCAATTAGCGTTTTTAATTTCGAATATTGGATAACATTAAGTTTGAAGTTTAGCTCCTTCAAATAACATGAGTATACGTGCGTTTTATAAGATCTCAATCTGAAGGATAAGGAAGAATGGAAAAATAAAATAAAAATGGCGACCAGCAAAGAAAGACATTTTACAGCTGAAAATATTTCTATTATTTAGCGTACCATATTTGATATCACAACGCAACAATCTTCCGTAGGGTTCAAAAATTTCTTCTAAGTCTCTTACTCGGGTCGATTTACTCAACCGCCCAATAAATAATGCACCTTCCGCTGGATACCGACGAGACATTCTTTCAACCTTTCCACCGGTTCGTCAGCATCAACATATATAAGGGCCCGGATGAAAGAGTATAGCTTTTTAGAGCGTGTTTCGTATACAAGGATTAAGATTATTCTAAAACACTTGATATGTATACCTAATCATCAAGATAAGTTTGCTTTTAGAGTTTGAATCATTTAATCTTAATAATTTTATTTAAATAAGAAGTATTTTGGCATTTCTTTGAAATATTTTATCAATCTACGAAAATATTACACAAAGCCATAGCGAAATTTTATCCCATATCCAGTCTTTTAATGCTTTTGTACTCAATTACTTAGAGAGATCAGACTGGATAACCACGACAATAACAACTACACTAAACCGTGGACACGTCGTCTGGAACCATTATTATCTTGTCCAATCTACTATTTTTGTTCTATCTGTTAGTGTGGTGTTAAAAAATCCTGTATGAGAAATTAGTAACAGTGCAGAATGGGTATATTTTTTAAATTTCAGATTCGATTTCTTACTCTCATTGAGAGAGGTTTGGCATGTCACACTGTTGTCATCGATAAGTACAGTAGCTAGGCCTACAGACTACAGTAGGCCTAGTGGTAGTACTAGTACAGTGTCAGTGTGTGTAGTTAGTAGTAAGGTCTAGGCCTACTGTCTGAACCGTCGTCTTTTAAACAGATTTGTCCGAATATGAACAAACTACTTAACTTTGTTTACGTTATTATAAACTTACCTTTGTTTTTTTAAATTACCTCCGGTTAAATAAAATCCATTGTACAACCAGCGATTAAAAAAGTTCGCTCTTGTAAAATTGGACTCCTCACAAATTTGGACACTGAGAAATAAAAAAATGGAAGATAATTACGTCACTTATTGGGATAGATCATTTTATATAAGGGGGTTGCAGCAAGGCTTGTCTATCGTAACGGTGTTTGGCTCTTTTACAACAATTCAAATTTTGTGTATGAATAAGCTATTGCTCTTGGACTAGTAATGAGTTTGGGTGTTTACAAACATAACTACGCCCATAGTCCGTTATTTTGTTTCGGTCTCGTATTAATTATTTTGTTAGAGAGTTGGGTGGGATTATTTCTTTTGAACACAGGTGCAGAACAAAAAGAACGACATTTGTTTTATGGGCCTTGAATCTCACCCTTGAATATCTTTAATACTTCCTGATGAACTTAAGCAATCCTGTCAATTAACCTCAGCAATCTGCTTTAGCCAAGGTAAATCCGTAAATGCCAATATATTTTACATTTACCTCGGCAAAATAAATAGCCGAGCTGAAGCCATTGAATCATTGAATAGGTATATAACGTTATTTTTTTTTTTATAAATACCAAAAATTATTATCAACAAACATTGGTTTAATTATCGGCAGATAGTTCCATTTCTTTCTAAATCTCTTTGAATATTATTTCCGTTGTGCAAATACTGTTCAGAATTTTATAATCGTGCGTCTCGGTAACACAATTGATTTGCAAAAATCCCGGCTTCATTTTGAAATTCTCAGGGCAATGTATCCATACGATTGTACTCTCAGTTATTAACTATATATTAAAGGGACTATCCCGATTTGAACAGAGTCTCAAAAATAAAAGTCTGAGTACGTATGAAATTTAAATGCCAAAATATAGAGGAATGGTGTAGTTACCTTGTCTCAAAATATTGAGTAGTTTGGACGTGAACGTCAACTGCTTATCCGGACACGTTACCCTTTTAGGATTTCGGGTCAACGTTTTCGTTTGGTGACCTGATAATCGATTCCCATTCCTTTAGAGATCTATACAGTGAATGACCCATGTTCTATACTTGATAATGAAAGGTTAATTTCACCTACACATTATTTTTATAAAATAAAAATCTGGTTTTATCCAGATACCGCATGGTACTGCTTGAAACACCGGTCTCCATTTCCAGATAAAGACTAGCGAGTTTAAGTTGTTCGAAAACATATCACAAATATTGAGTTAGTTGCTCGGCCCTTAGGTAGATAAGTGTGAGGGATTTCAGCACAAAATTAAGCAGTTTGAATTCTATTACCGTAAAAGGTACCATGTCATATGTGTTATTGTACATATGTATGCTACACAGATGCAGTGAAAATGGTTAAATTTAGAGCAAAACTTGCACAAGTTTTTCCACGGTCTGCATAATTAATAACACACAAGAACCAATAATACACGCAATCTGCAATGCTGCTTTTGACAAGTGATTTTTTGTTTTAGATACATTTCTATAAAGACAATAAACGACGTTTAGACAACCCAAACTGTTCTTATCAAGAATGTTTCGATTTCAGTATCGGTCGAGTAAAGTAAAAAAAAGTAATTTAGAGCATTGGGATTACACTGCATTATGAAATATGATCAATTAAAATTATGAAATAAAGTGTGTTTATTTATAAATGTTAGCCACAAAGTTGCCTATAATTGACAGGGATGTAATATAATTTATAAAAATATATACAGGGTATTTACAATTATGGGGTGATTTGTGATACAAGTATTTGTGTTATCGGTGATATATTCATTGTGAATAAAATTTAGTAGACTGACAATCAATTGTTTCCAAATTAATGTTATTGTCTTCAGTTGCTATTTTTGTTGCCCAAACTAAAACGATTGAAAAGGTTGTTCGCTGCTTTGATTGCAACACACGTGATTGTCCTTTACCCCCCTTCAACATATAATGATGGTTTAGCTCATCACATGACATGTGTAGTGTTGTGATGGACACAGTCAAAAATACAAGCAAAAGCATTGACTTTTCAAGAGATAACTTTTTTTTTTCGTTGGGGTATATTTAATTTTGCAATGGATTTTATTCAACCAGAGGGGATTTCACACACATAGGCAAGTTTTTAATAACAATTATTGATTAGTTTGTTCACAATCAAAGAAATCAGTTGAAAATTTACCACGGTTCAGATAGTAGGTGTAGGATAAAGCACGGGACTGAGGTTATGCTGGGGAAAGAAAGGCTGTAGAAAAAAACTGACAGGACAAGGTTTTTCTTTCGAGTGTTTTTTCTGAATCTGAAAACTTATAATCAAACATATCCACTTATAAAAACTACAGCTTACAGTATCTACCTGATTGTTGCAGTCTTAAGTTTAGTCAAGAAAAATTTATCAAAGTAACTTGTTTCTCTATTTTCAGGTGGCTTACTTAGTTATTTTTCTGGATTATTTGGAAATAAAGAAAGACGAATATTAATTTTAGGATTAGATGGAGCTGGTAAAACAACTATATTATACAGATTACAAGTTGGTGAAGTTGTTACAACTATTCCAAGTAAGTTTATCACAGATTTCATTGAAGAGAACAGATATTGCAGCAAATTCTAATATGTAGAGAATTTATATACATCCCTTGTGAAATGGTACATGTAACTGTGTGTTATTGCTTGGCAATTTATGGGAGTCACGGTGGCTAAGTGAGTAAGACGCTGGCTCGCTAACCTGAAGGTCGTGGGTTCGCTCCTCGTGTAAAATTTTCCGGTGTGGTTTCCCCATTGTCATGTGAAGGAGGGCCTGACAGAGATAGCTGTCTAGTCATTTGGATGGAACAAAAAAACGAGGTCCTGTGTACACATTGGCGTGCATGAAAAAGATCCCTTGGCAGTTGGAATTCGATATAAGAATAGACCGTAGCGCCACTGTTCAGACAAAATTTCCCTCATAGCACACTGTATAGTATTAGCCCATCTTCATTAGCCCAGTCTGAGCAGGACAGTAGGACGTTAAACCCAATAAGGCCCATGTCAATTCAATTTTTGAGCAATTTATCTTTATTAAAGTGCCTGATCATCATTTGAAGAATTTTGAATCCTTTGCTAACTACATATTAAATACGATATTGTGAATATTGAATCTCTAAAAGGATTATCAGACTTTCAGTCCAGAAAAGGTTAAATTCCATTCAGTATGTGCAAAGATACAATTCATTGAAACTTTGTCAACATTCAACATTCTCTGCAAACAATTTAAATGACATACATACCGCAGATATTTTGATTTTGTTTTCTTAAATAAATAATCAGTTAGCGTACAATTTAGCATGGATTAAACTGTGAAAAATTCAATATTGTCCAGAAAGTGCATATGGCAATCTTTCTCTTATACTTTTTCTTTGTTAGGAAATATCACAATTTAATTAGATTTTTTGTTTTCTTTTCAGCCATTGGTTTTAATGTGGAGACTGTTACATATAAAAATTTAAAGTTTCAAGTATGGGATCTTGGTGGACAAACAAGTATAAGGTTATTATCGCAATCTATATTTATATTGTATTTGTCGTCCCATATTACTTGTATGAATATCTTTCTTATTGCATAAAGACAAGTTTGATTGGGAGTGGACACAGAAAACCAGAATGTTTTGATAGTTAACTAAGTTGTAGATTGTAGTACAGACATGTACACTGTTCGTGCAACAGCGCATCGTCCTTTACAGAATAGTAGGTTCTATCTAATGATAAACAATCCCCTGCTACCATTAACATTTATATACACTTCTCTGTTCAATTAACTGGCTTTATGCAATTTTACTTCAAGGGGTAAACAGTTATTTGAAGAAATTAGGATAATTTTATTTGAAAGAAACTAAATCTTTTAACATATATTTCCTAACCGTTATTTATACTGGATATAAAAAATCTCTTTGAACTATATTCTTGATCGATTTAGCAGCAGTGTAGTAACAGATTTAGATCACTGTCTGCTGTGCACTTTTGTTCAATATAGGTATGAGTATGCACTATAGAAATTGGTTAATGAAGTGAAATTTAAATTTAATGTTTTTATTTTTACAGACCATATTGGAGATGTTATTATTCTAATACAGATGCTATTATATATGTTGTTGATAGTATGGATAGAGATAGAATAGGAATTTCTAAACAAGAATTAGTTTCTATGTTAGAGGTAGGTAAACAATTATCTATTGAATTAATATGTACATGTATATGTATGGAAAGCATATAAATATAAATTGGCCATAAAGCCACTGGTTGTTCTTTGCATATTTCAGAAAATCTCACAACTTAATTTACCCTAAATGTATTTGGAATGGTTGTTTAAATTTTATAAAATAACTAAAATATCAGAAGACAATAATCTCCCAGATTTGTTTCAGTCAGATTAACAAGAGACCCATCAAAGATTTCGGCTTGCTTAATGTTGACAAATGTTAAATTCATATATTTTTGTACATTTATTTTGAAAATTTGCGTGTTGAGAACTAGAGAATCATTAGTCAGTAATAAACAGTAAGTGTATTCCATAGAGCTGTGTCCACTGTATATTTATTTTAGTTACGAAATGTTATTGAAAGAGTATAATATACTACATGCAGATTTGAAAGTCAATCTTAACAAGAGTTATTGCCCATTTTTCATAGCTCAAACTTACCTGTATCTCACATCAAAATCTTTTTTGAAAAAATTTTCAGATTTAAGACCAAAGTGGGGGAACTATGATCCCTTGAAGCTGGAGACAATAAAAACTAAGGTTTGTTTGTGTAATTATGTCTGACTATACAATATACAATACATATTAACTTTATTTGTTTGTATTTCTTCAGGAAGATGAATTAAAGAAAGCGATATTGGTAGTATTTGCCAATAAACAAGATATTGAAGGTGCTATGACAGTCTCAGAAGTAGCTAATGCATTAGGTTTACCTGCACTTAAAAACAGAAAGTACCAGATATTTAAAACATCAGCAATTAAAGGATTAGGTTTAGATGAAGCTATGGAATGGTAAGTCAAAAAAAGTACATTGACTGTGTGATCATGTAGCCGTATTGGAAATCAAATTTTATTCAGTGGGACTGCCCTATGATTTAAAAAAGTATGTATAGAGTTGAGTCCTAAGTTAAGGGGTTGTTTGATTGTTATTCTAGAACATTCTGAATTGACTGAATTGCAATTTAGTGACACATTTTTGTTGGGGGGGGGGGGGGTGTTTCGCTCTTTGGGGGTCTTGACCGGTTAGCAAAAAAAAATAATTTTTGATATGTGATTTGAGTACATGTGTATTTCCAAATTAGACTGTTTGCAGAATCTAAGACAAGTCTGATGTTTTACCTGTTATGTGGTGAAAATTGTAACTTATGTTTACAAGTGACGCAAATTCATTTAGTGGTTTTCAAAGAGTTAAAAAAAAACGCTGGCACAAAATACCTCTTGGTGGATCAATGCTTCAATTTTCTCTAATTAGGAGAGTGTATGGTTATTTTGACTAAATTAATTACATTTATTATCTTGTATTTCCCTTTGAAAATGGTAGTGATGATTCCTCTGTAAGATAGTGCTTCACCACTTTAAAATTTTAAGCTCTTGCATTTCCCTTTGAAGATTGTAGTTAAAATATAGCTTTATTATTATGATTAATATATTTCAGGTTGTCAAATACAGTTCAACAACAGAAATAAAGTTTCTTACTTGTCATCATCAACTCATCATCGTTTTATGAATATATGAAATCATTCATGATCAAATCAGTGAAGAACAATTTTGATTTGTCGGGCATTATTCAAAATTGCTTAAATAAATTGATGAGGAGAATATAATTTATAGGTCCCATAATTTAATGTATTTTATTCACCATTTCTTTGTTTGAATAGGAAACTTCTGTCTACAAACAGTACAGAGTGACATTATCTTAGCTTGTGGATAAATTGTTTCATTTATTGTCATAGCCTCTGTCATCAAAACTACCAGTATTGCACATAATAGTTTTGTTAATGATAAAGACTTCCATTGAGAACACCCAATTCTGAGATTGATTGATACACACTGTGTGTATTGTCTGTTTGTATATGATCTATAACTATTAAAGATACAAATTATTATTTGTGTATAAATGTAAATAATTGATAATATTATTGTATTGTAAACAGAATATTTGGTTGGTTGTTGATGTTGTATAAAATATAGTAAAACTAAAATGTGGCTATTAATGAATTATTGATTTTAATAAATAATGCTTGGGAAGTATCTTAAATTGGCTTTTAGTTCACTGGCTGATTTGACTGCACAACTTAAACTGTATGCATAATTTGAAATATATCTGCCAATCCAGTGCTAAGATATAGACCATCTGCTGCATTACAGATGGGGAACCACGATGACTCAGTGAGTAAGACACTGGCTAGCTAGTCTGGAGGTCGCAGGTTTGCTCCCGGTGTTGGCCGAGAAAGTTCAACATGATTTTCAGGTGTGGTTTCCCCTTGTCAGTGGTGCAGGATGGAGGGCCAGACAAGGAAAGCTGTCTAGTCATTCAGATGAAATGGAAAACCAAGGTCCCGTGTACACATTGGCATGCACATATAAGTTCCCACAGCAGTTGAAATTTGATAAAAGTCCGGGCAGAATTTCCCTCATAGCACACTGCCTGGCATATGCCTCTTCTCATTAGCCCAGTCTGAGCAGACTAGTAGAACATTTAACCCCATTTCATTTCATTTCATTGTGCATTACAAATGGCACACACATTGTAACCATGAGTGGTTTTCAAGCAGTAAAATGTAGCGATCTTAAGGACCATTTGACAGATTTATCTTAGATAATGTATGCAATATAATTTGAACATGTCTTATGTTACTGTATACTCAAATCAGCCATTGTCTTCTATAGAACTAATATAACTTAATGTTTTGGGTTATTGTATGTTTTATTTGGTGAAATATACCCAGAAATATAATGAATTTTAAATCTAAATATGTATAATTGTTGGGGTTTTTTTTTCTCATCTTAACTTATTTTATGTAAAATATAAACTTATTGAGTTCATATTATGATGTAAATAATATGTGGTGATTTTACAATTTTTTTGACCATTATGAATGTATTGTAAACTACAGCAGATCTGATTGTCCAGGTTTCCGTGTATTGACTTGTTAATTGAGACACAGTACATACCAAGAACCCTACAACAAGTTATAAATGAAAGGGTTGCAAGCACACTAGGGGGTATGGATTAGAGGGCTACTTCCAGCAAAATCTTGTAGGTTTCCAGATGCTTTCGGATGCAATCTAAAGCCAGTTACAATTCATATAACAAGTCTGGGGCACCTTTGATAACATGTCTGACAATTTAATAATGTATTAATTATTAATAAAAATATGTTGTAGAATTACAATGTTTATTGTATGCATGTTATTTCCACTTCATACCGAAATCGTGTCTCCTCCGTCTTCATTAGCCCAGTAGGAGCAGAACCGGACGTTAAACCCCATTTTATTTCATTTGTTTTTTCCCCAAGCTTGAAGTTTAGACTGTAGGTGTATGGTTCAGTATGGTATCCAAATGGGCTACCCAAAGTATCTTTTGCCAATATGGTTTCCACACGCGGGATTATACCCATTGCATGCCTCATTCGTATAAGCATTCGTGAAATGTATAACATTCAATACGTTGAGTAGATTGGATGTCAATCTGGAACCAGTATGGTATTCACATGGATTTAAACGGACTAAATATATTGATTAACCGACTTAAGATGTTGCACCCCCCCCCCCCCCCCCACACACACAATGGTTCCCGTAATTTATCGATAGCTTAAACAAAACATAAAACCCAAACAAATAACGTTTCTTTGAAACAAAAGATAGAGGAAATCAAACGGTGCGGGTAGGTACATGGGGAATCAACCCATCATGATAACCTTTATTAAGGATAGGCTTCGTACTTGAAATGATACAAACGGATTGATTTATGGATGAATTTATTCACAAACATCTACCCTGAGTGCATAAACCAGCAGGAAAAGAAGTAATCATTAAAATACAATATTTCTATCTCGCCGAAATATAAAAAAACGTGTGTGTATTATCATATCTCTTTTGAACTTATAAGTATTATTTTAATAATAGTTTCGCACGGTACAACATTAATCGCATATTAATAAACCGGTTGTTTTGTTCCTTTTTTTATACGTCCATCTGTCGTCCACAATTTCTTGTGAACACTCTACAAACTACATTGAACATCTGATTGTTCTTTAAATTTATATACGTTTTTGCACGAAAAAGCCTTTTTTTTTAATTTCAACAATTTCCGTTAATTTCTTCTCGAGGTATGGCACTTGTTACACTTTGTTGAAACTTGTGGACGCTGTAACGACAAAAGTTATCTTCCGATCGGTATGAAATGTATATGCATCATATAAATCAATGAAACGAAAACGCCAATTAGAGTTATGGCCATTTTTTCACGTTGCTAATCCTTGTGAACGCTCAAATTACGAAAAATATAATCTGATCTGTATGATATTGATATCATTGTCTTGAAAATGCCCTCTCTTCCCATTATCCACAAAAGAATAAATATACTCTTCAAAAAACGTAGGGGATATTCAGAAACAATACAAAACTGCGGAAATGCGCTGCTGTTTTTATTAGGGGTAACCAGTGTATGTTAATAACAGGCCAATTGCCTACACATGAACACAAACAGTTCATATGGGCAGTTTATCTGACGGCCCCATTTCACTCGCAAAGAGATACACTGTCAAAAGTGAAAATGGACGTTTTTCATTTTTGTCTTAATAATGAGTAATTGCTCCACCAATCCTCAGACATTCAGCAATTCGTAGTGGCATGATCCTAATCAACCGTCCAATCACCATTTGGAGCAATATGACCCACTCCTCTTGCAGTGCCACGGCCAATTCTTGCAGTGTTGTCGGTTGACGTTGACGTCGACGAACACGTCTCCCGATCAAATTAAACGTAACGCACTAAAGCAAAGATACACTAAACAGTAAATCTTATGCAAGAACCGATAGGAAAGCAAACATGGATAGGATAAACCAGCAAGCGGCAGTTTTCATCAACCCTTCCTTGAAGTGTCAAATTTGACAATGAACCCCTCCCACGTGTATGGCGCTATTGCGTGTCGGACGTGCAGCTCCGTGGTTCTGTTGGGGGCGATAAGATCTTCATATATGAACATACTCTCAAAGCATGTCAAGTATCTATGACTATCATATCACAACCTGTATAGGTATTTGCATTTCAATATCCCCTACTTTTTTTAAGAGTATATATGAGACAACCCGTGTCGACTGCGCGGACGATTTAGCTGTTGTTGATGTATGTTTCGTTGGCCGGCAACTTATCTTTTATCAGGTGCTTATTTAAGCGTGTGCTTACCAGTTATCTTAGTAGAATGCTATTTGTGTCTGTCTTGAAAGACAAATATTTGTTGGGAATGTTTCCTTGCACAGAAATAAATTGAAAAATTAATAGCATTGACGCGTCAAAGAACATATTTTTAGGTATACTAGTCTCTTATTTAGAGTAAACAGCTATACACTTCTATTCAAATATAGATAAAATATGGAGGATTATATAGATTTCCTGAAGATGCAAGGCGATTGAAAAAGTAATCCTTATAGATACATCAAAAGATGCATGCAAAGATTAAATAAAATGAAATGAAAAAGAAAATCTCTTGGTTATGTAAACTCGCTAAATAACAAATGGTGGTGCAGAGAAAATTCTCTTGGAGTTATATCTGTCTTTTTATTGATTTATATATTTTAATTAAAGGGGAGAATATGGAAGAGAATGATGAAGCATTTTGGAATGACACACTTAATTAGAGATGACCCTCTTAACTGATCAAGCATAGGCTATTATCGGACCCATCACACCGCCACTTCACGCATACATCAGAATTATCAGGCAATTGTCTTTGCAAATTATCAGTTTCATTTAAATATATTGATTAGAAATGCAATCATACAATGCCCACGCTCATCATCGGGTTCTTATAATACAGTGTTCGCGCAGATAGCATTAAGGTAAGCAATGTTTATCTCGCGAATCTATTACACTACCATTATTCAAACCAATATTATGCTGCAATCTTTGCAACTCTTTGATATGAAAAAGGATGGGTGACTGGGTTCAAAGGTTTATCAATGTACTAACAATATTTCATGTATCGCATTTTATTCTAAAATTAAACAAGGTCTTAGATAGAAAGACAAACGTTTTAATAAAATAACTACATTTTGATATGCATACTTGATTAAAATTTTGCCTTAGGAATACCCAAAGTTTAAATTCAAATGAAATGAAATGAAATGGGATTTAACGTCCTACTGTTGTTTAAATTCAAACGTTATTGTCCATTTTGTTACATATATAAGCTAATATTATACCAATTACACAAACTAGAAATTATAAGATTGCTATTCTATTTCAAATAGATCTAAATGCGTTCCACAAAACATAATATAATCTAAAATATATATTTTCACACTAAATGACTACTTTCAGAAAATAATTAGATTTTACCCGGTCCACTGAATCGAGAGGATTTATCAAAACTAAGTCTGTATTATTATGGTTCTTACTGGATGAAAGCAAAATTGTCGGACATGTAGTTCTGATTCAGATATTGATGTAAGCTATATTTTTGCAATTCGGATTTAAGTAGCGTCCTGTTTAAAATGAGTTCGCAAATTTGATTTCATTCAAATTTGGGCAATACAATTGAATTTGAGTAAATTAAGTTTTGTGTCGACTTTTCCAACAACTGAGATTGAATTACCATAGATATTTACGACTATACACTTAAATTTCTATCTAACGCAATTTAAGTTAATAGGGCCATCTTGTTGTGATTCGAATGAAATAAACACATTTTTAAATGACGAGTGGCATTTTATTACGTGTGATAGATATTATAGCCGCGATGCTGAATGTTTTAAAACGAAGAACCGAGAGAGGTATATTGAAATTGGTCTCCAAAATGTATGGGGACCATGGCTAGTGAGACCTATCTAGTCACTTTTATACTTCAGTTTGGGTGTATATAATCATTAGGGCCATGAGAGGACGAACCCTGTCGATAGTCAGCATTTTAGGACCTTAAGTTTTGGAATTACCCCCATCCCCACCCCTTGCCGAAAACCCTGTGAACGCGACAGAGGCTATATCTTTTAATTATTTGAGGGAATATGGGTCATGCGAGGACGGACCTTCAGTTCCGGAGTTACCCCCTCCCACTTTCCGAACCGAAAACCATCTGAACGCGATAGTGGCTATATTTTCTAACGGATCTTTTTTGAAAATTAGGAGGAAGCATCTGTCCATGAGAGGACGAACTCTATCCACTTTCAATCAATGTTGCTTATGTTTTAGAGATATTCCCTTTTCCGAAAACCTTGTAAATTTGGTATGAAGCATTGGAATAATCATAAAAGAACGAACTCGATCGATATTCAGCGTTCCACAACCTTCCATTCTAGAGTTACCTTCCTTTTTTTTAAAAGCCTTGTGAATTCGATAGCTGCTAGAAATTTTAAAATTTTATTTTTCGAATTTGGTGTGAAGCACCGAGGGGACACAACAGATCGGTATTTAGAATTCCATAAACGTTCGGCCCAGAATTACACCCCTTTTCAGAAAACCTTGTGAAGGCTGTAGTCTTTAATGAATTTGTTTTAAATCTGGTGTGAAGCATGAAGGAAAGGAAAGGACGAATCCTATTAAATAATTAGTTTGTTAATTTTAACATCCAATTTTTCTTTTTGGATAAGCTGCTACCAAAACATTTAAAATGATAAGGAAATAAATATAAAAGTTTGGCTTTGTACATACAAATAAAACTGATAAATGGTACAAAAACAAAGTTAATCGTAAACTCTGAATGCATGGTAGGCTATACGAAAGAAGAAATTGGGAGGATTAAAAATTCGGGTATTTGGGGAATTTGGTTAAATATCCTTTCCCACAAAAGTATTTATCAGGTGATTATTTCCAAATAAAAGTATGGCAATTTTGGTATATATACTATTCAAAAAAAGTAGGGGATATTTGATTTTTAAGTGTTATTAAAGTCACCTAATGAAACTGACGAAGAAACAAATGACAAAATGAAATGAAGTTCACATTCATCGATTTATTCCAAATGATCGTTAGACTAAGTAAGGCACAGACTGACCATTATAAGGGTAAAATGATACCCGGGGTCAAACAGCAAAGTTACCACAGCATCACAACCAAGTCAGTAACGGGTAAATCCTCCTCTGTTTGCCAAACAAGCATTGATCCGACGTGGCATACTCCTAATGAGACGTCTAAGGTCATTTTGGTCTAGATTGTCCCATTCCTGTTGCAACGCAGC